TGAATTTTACGCGACGGGGCATCATCTTCTTTCGGTATTCTACACTCTGAAATAGATTTCGTGCAAACTTGATGTACGACATTAAGTCGAACTGGCAGCGTTAAATCATATTGGAATACAATTTTCTAGTATGGGTATTTGGAGAGTTTCCGTTAAGCCACACCGTTGAATGAAGTTCCATCTTACATCAATATCCAACAACAAATTTATTGCAATCGTTCGCACTATGTAGAAATATTACTGATAGTAGAAGCCTTTGGGAAAAACCCAGAAAAAATTTCAGTTTCGGAGTGCTGATTCCTAACTTTATACCCAAAACTATTGAAAGTATGGTATGGAACTCTGGCGTATTTTGTCAGTATTTTGTTGTTGACAGTACGTTATGGTGCTTTGGTGTACCTCAGCATTTGTGATCACAGTGTGGTAGAGCGCTCTGCTATACCTTGTCCATTTGCCTTGACAGGATGCCATACCGTTCTGGTATATTTTGTCCGTTTGTATTGTTTGTATTGACAATATGGTATGGTGGTGAAGTATATTTTATCAGTTTGTATTGACAATATGGTATGGTGGTGGAGTATGTTTTATCAGTTTGTGTTGACAATATGGTATGGTGGTGGAGTATGTTTTATCAGTTTGTATGGACAATATGGTATGGTGGTGAAGTATATTTTATCAGTTTGTATTGACAATATGGTATGGTGGTGGAGTATGTTTTATCAGTTTGTATGGACAATATGGTATGGTGGTGAAGTATATTTTATCAGTTTGTATTGACAATATGGTATGGTGGTGGAGTATATTTTATCAGTTTGTATTGACAATATGGTATGGTGGTGGAGTATGTTTTATCAGTTTGTATGGACAATATGGTATGGTGGTGGAGTATATTTTATCAGTTTGCATGGACAATATGGTATGGTGGTGGAGTATATTTTATCAGTTTGTATGGACAATATGGTATGGTGGTGGAGTATGTTTTGTCAGTTTGTATTGACAATATGGTATGGTGGTGGAGTATGTTTTGTCAGTTTGTATTGACAATATGGTATGGTGGTGAAGTATATTTTGTCAGTTTGTATTGTTTGTATTGACAATATGGTATGGTGGTGGAGTATGTTTTATCAGTTTGTATTGACAATATGGTATGGTGGTGGAGTATGTTTTATCAGTTTGTATTGACAATATGGTATGGTGGTGGAGTATGTTTTGTCAGTTTGTATTGACAATATGGTATGGTGGTGAAGTATATTTTGTCAGTTTGTATTGTTTGTATTGACAATATGGTATGGTGGTGGAGTATGTTTTATCAGTTTGTATTGACAATATGGTATGGTGGTGGAGTATGTTTTATCAGTTTGTATTGACAATATGGTATGGTGGTGGAGTATATTTTATCAGTTTGTATGGACAATATGGTATGGTGGTGGAGTATGTTTTGTCAGTTTGTATTGACAATATGGTATGGTGGTGGAGTATGTTTTATCAGTTTGTATGGACAATATGGTATGGTGGTGGAGTATGTTTTATCAGTTTGTATTGACAATATGGTATGGTGGTGGAGTATGTTTTGTCAGTTTGTATTGACAATATGGTATGGTGGTGGAGTATGTTTTGTCAGTTTGTATTGACAATATGGTATGGTGGTGAAGTATATTTTGTCAGTTTGTATTGTTTGTATTGACAATATGGTATGGTGGTGGAGTATGTTTTATCAGTTTGTATTGACAATATGGTATGGTGGTGGAGTATGTTTTATCAGTTTGTATTGACAATATGGTATGGTGGTGGAGTATATTTTATCAGTTTGTATTGACAATATGGTATCGTGATGGGGTGTAGTTTTTTTATTTGTATTGAAATTACGGTTAAATAATATCTGTATTTCCACTATAGTGTACTCTGTCTTACTGGGTTGATGCCATTGTGAATGAAACATTTTGATCCTGTTTCTCGCTGTGCTATATTTTCTTAATTTCGGCTATAGCTGTTGTATAGTTTGTCTTTGTATATAGATATATTCCGCTTTATTGTACAGAGCAGAATTTGTAAAATCATGAAAGTCATGATCTAATACTTTTGGTAATAAGGTTGATATCTAATGTTATATTTTGAAAGAGAATATAATTTCCTACTTTTTGATGATTAAAGTGAGTTTAACATAATTTGATCGAGCACAGATACCTTGCTCGGCTTGGACTTTGGGCATGTCTTAATATTGTCCGTGTGTCTTGTTCTCTCTGTTCATATTTTGCTCACGTTTTATTGATTTTGAGTTTGAACTAAGAATCGCTAAACATGTTTTTCTCGTTGTTTTTGAAATTCTACTCCTAAAATAAATAATAATGCTAGTTAGTATGCGGGTTTGGTGCAATAGCAGAAGAGGAACCTGAATTATTAACACTACTGTGATAAACGGATGTCAAAACACCAACAGAAATTCGTTTGGCTGAAGATCTATCATAGTACCGCGGGAAAAGCAGCTTCAGTTTGAAGCTGATATTGGAAACAGGTGCGAAATAGCATTTAATGTCACAGCAATAAACTCAGAATCTTACAGACGGCAATAACACTGTGGGACATGATCTGAAATAAAACGCAATATCAAACTCTCAAAACATCATTTAAGTTTTAGAAGAATGCGCAATATAAGTTAAATGTTTTTCAAAAGGCGTGAAAAACATTAACATTTAAAAAGATTTTTTAAAATATGATTTTAGCGACAGTTATACGATACGCTGATGAGTGTAAATAATAAATGCGCCTTACAACATATTGGTTAAACTAAAGGAAATAATTGGTCGATACAATTTATATGTATATGTAAACTAAAAAAAAAAATCGGTGTTCATCGGTAGATTATTTTAGCTGTCCTTATCTTATCACATGTATACGGCGTTGTTCTAAAATAATCCGGTATATGAAAATAACGAAATTCATTGTTTTATGGGGCGAGCGCACCTCCACATTCAGATTCGTCCGTTCACATTGGATTTTCTCATTGGCATCAAACTTTAAGCCCGTAGCATCACTGACGAGTCCTAGTAGGCCGAAATGGCTGTATGATAAAGTTAAATTTATTGTTTGGCTCTACTCTAAATTTGTTTTAAAGGTGCTACGCACTTGTGTGTCTTTAGTACAATCTTGCTATGTAATTGATCCTATTTCTAAGATCCTGTTATTTAATGGTTATCGTTAATGGTGACATGATACGGCAAAAGCTCATTCAGCAAGTAATTATCAGTACACTTTGTATAATGATACGTAGGCACTATACAATTTTTATTGTTTTTTCGAAACAACAAAGATTAAGACCACTTTGATAAATCATTGATGTGTACTGGAACGAGCATGTGTTTTTGCTTTGTATGCAATTCCTAAGCTTACACAAATCAAGCCGAGGCAGGCTTCCCGTGTTCGTTCTACAGGAACACCCATTAACAAAGTGACAAATGCAGGGTTACTTTTCATGTGACGATTAACAAGAGGTTTATAAAGGCATTAATCGGAAATAGGACCGTACAGAAAATATCCCAGTTAAAAATGAAGTATTTGTGTTATTCAGTGATATTTCACAGGAGACCATCAATCATTCTAACATTCGATCGTGAGGAAAAGCGTTGTGCTCCAAATAAACCGTAGCAAGAAGTCAATGTATCCGATGTATTGGAATGAATAATCGATTGTACATTTTGTTAATCTTTTATCAAGAAAAGTAGAAATAAGCAGTAGGTTAGCATTGGCTGGCATCCTACTGGTACCATGAATTTATATGTGATATTAGAGAGATCCAGTGGGTATAATAATGGAAATGGGAACAGCTAACGAGAATTAGTTATGATTAACATATGGAACCTTTAAGCAGTTGACTTTGGCGTCAAGACTCCTACAGAGCAGAGCTGTAAAACTAATTGAACCTTATTGCACAGTCGCTCTGATAATTGGTGTATATATATAAAGTAATCACTTTAGATACGGCGCCTGTATTTACTTTTACGTCTATGCTTTACTTTCATTTAACCCAAACATTAAACGAAGTAGGAGACGTGACCACAAATGATCAGATTATCAGTTCCAAATTTTCTAACTTTCCCAAAATAATTAACTTTAAAGTCTGTAAGAGAGGAGTGCCTTTACTTGCAATTAGTTTAGAAGTAAAAGACTAATTTCTAAAGGTAGTAATGGTAAACTTGACCTTGAACTAGTAACCTTAAACACGTTATCATCTTAATTATACTGGTAGTTGACCTTTCACATAAGTTTTACTTCATTTGAATAGTAGCATGGTTAAGAACATACACATGTACTTAATATTGTTCCTAAATTCTCATATATATGAAAATTACGATAAGTATTAAATCAATGGGCTAGTTAATCTCCCCAGTGTTTTTCACTTCTGTATTTTTTAATCTTTGATCAACTTGGTATTGCTAAATGCTACGAGAAGTGATCAGGAAATGTCATCTTTGCTCTTTCCTTAACATTATACATACAATTCTTCCAATTGTAAAAGAATTAGTAAATTTATTCAAAATTATCAAAGAAAAAATATATAAAAGATAAATCTAAAGGTGGTCTTCGTATTGGTAATGTAAAAAAGCACATAAACGGTATATTTAACGTTTGTCCAAATTTATTGACAGAACATTCATTGCCTGGGCGATACCAGAAACACTGTTTTCATCTAGGCGTACAACGTACAGATATCGTCCCTATTCCATGTCAAGAACATGTTAACGTGTACAGATATGTCAACTTTTCCCTGTCATTTAATAACATACCAGTTTCAATAGGTATAACAATACAAGCCTCCTGACCTTTGCAATGTTGATGTATCTTCTAACCCAATGACTCCTGCATGAATCATCATATATTAATTGCTAAAGTCATGATTGTTTTATTACTTAAAAAGAAATAAGATTGTATCTCTACCTTCCAATGTATGACGAAATATTTGGGTGTATTGGACTTTTCAACTGAATTTTCATTTTCTTCCGTAGGTCTCTTTGGCTTGACAGTCACCAACATCAGCATCACAAGCATAACCCTATCCTGGGATAACTTTCAACCACAAGGCTATAGGTTTGAGTACAGTTTGTTTTATTCTACTACGTATTCCAACGACACGTCAATATGGAACCGGGAAGAGGTGAGTTTTAAATTAGTTCCCGACGACTGGTGGTAAACGAGAATAATATTCAGCTAGTGCTACAAACGTACACTGGTGATCCAATTAGTAAGAGGGGAAATTAATTACCCCTACTACCGCTGACACTGAGACGGAATAAGACGCGGGAACGAACAAAAATATCAAATGTTCAAGAGCCATGTGTCCTGTTTAGATGTCTCGAAATGTTGATTAGGTACAACGATGTTTGTTAAGATTTATCGTGTGTAGTTCATGAAATTGTATAGCTGTCCATTAATATCAACTAGGCATCGTCTTTTTGCAGCACGGGGATGTATCCATGACCACTGTGTATGGACTACAGCCAAATACGATGTACTTTATGAGAGTAGCTACCTGGCAACAGTCGGACATCATCGCCAACCTGACAGAGGTGGTCGTTACCAGCACGACGGGTGCGTCTTGATAGTACCAACATAAGTACAAATTAGTCGTGAATCATTGTTGATAAGAAGAGTTGTAACACCAAAGACATTATAACAGAACAGTATGTTGGTATAATTTGACTAAGCTAGACATACATAAAAATGACGAAGAGCACGAGATATAGACGAGAAGCACATTTTATTGCAACAGAAGATATTTCCATATTTATTTCGCCGTATCAGTACGTTGATTATTTTCTTAAATCTGGAGCATTTGTCTGCGATTGTGACTTTAAATATTGTTTATCATAGACTGCTTCCGAAAGGGCTCTTATTAACCGTTTTACTACATTTTCAAAATGAATATATGATCATTCCATACCGAGATACTTTTCAAAATGGTTTGAATTTTAACAATAGGTTTCAATTAGCTGTGTTTCTCATGATCACCCAATAACGTATGTTACCTTAAAAAACATGCCCCTTCCTTTTAATTCTAACAGATATTTCGAATTTCATCGACCTTAAACATTTTATGTCGGAACTCGCCGTTTCGTTTTCTTGTTGAATATTCCTTTTCACAATTACACCGTTAATGGTACATTTGGAATACAGCGAGTATTGTGAAGAATCACGTAAACATATCCAACTTTAATTGATTTGCTGACAGCACTGACGGATAGTAACAACCGTTTTACGACGAGCATGTCGTGATGAGCTGATCATTAAACAACAAGTTTTAGAGTAGATAATAAACTCAAGAAGTAAATTGTCGCCTCCACATTAACGACGTGTGTTGTAAGTAGTTAATGAATTCATAAGAAAATAAAACATTGTACTGTAACTCTATTTTTGGCTTTGAAACACTCTCCATTGTCAATTGATACATATTTAATTGAAATAAGTTAGTGTTATGCAAAACTGAATTTTTTAATACTAATGTTTGACCTTTTTAAAACTAAAATGGTACAAATAGTTACATGAAGTAATTACAACCGTAAATTATCTTTACTCAGAACATGCGAAGACATAAAATATTCATAGCTATCAGTCCATTGCTAAGAACGAACACAGATAAGAAATATCCGTCTTATCTGCATTCTGGAATGCTGATAAAATTGTGTATCTGCAACACTCATGTATTCAACGACGGGTTTTTGGCTTTCTTGTAGTTAATGGCATATAGTTCCATTAGTGGGTGATACCTTTCATCGAACACAGTAAACAACTTTGAACTGGATTACAAGGGTTTTATCACCTATTTTGTTTATTGTGATAGGTGATTAGACATGACAATTCCTAAGCCCCTGTGAGTGTTATTGAGCTTTGCCTTTTGGGAATTGAACTTGCGTCAAATTGATGTAATACGATTTGTAACATATGGGTAAAAGAAGGATAAAAATGACTGTACATGTTAAAATTCAAAGCAAATGACAACTTAATGTAATAGAGATAGACTTGACAAATGTCAGCATTATGATCAAGATGTTATGGAAAGTTCATATGTTCAATTTGTTAAATATGTAACTGTGACAGGATTATTGACTACACAAGCTGTATAAGACATAAGACGTATATCCATCGAGGTATCGCAACTTGTCTCCTTCCTTCGGCAACGTTTTACTTAATTGTTGCTAAACACCATAGCAACGACAATATTATTCTAAACCGAAGCACATTTATACCTCAATAAACGAAGGCATATTCTGCTTTGGTTAGAATATCAAAAATGTGCATTGCTTTTAAAGACAACTTTAAAAAGATGTCTTAAGGTGATTGTTGCAAAACATAATATTCTACTTTTACATTTAATGGTTTATATATTTTACAACAGATAACAAGTACATGATACCTTTTAAAAATGAATTAACCTGCATCATACAGCTGTTTCGTCCTTCTAGGTCTCGTGGGTGATGCTAAGTGCATAAATTTTGAAGCCTAGAATGCGACTAAGGAAAATCCAATGAGATCGAAAGTCAAAATCTACACGAGGAGGTGCAGCCGCCCTAAGATTAAAGAAATTTCGTAATTTCCATGTCAAATGATTTTAGTCGAGCGTGAAGTACATGAGGATTTTCCGAACCGTATCACATTTCGAATCAAAGAATAAAATGTTAATCATGCACAAAAAAATTACAAGGTGATAAAGCAAGGATATTCTTTTTTTCCAGTTCTGCCGTTCTGTGATTACAACAATAAGAAGTACAGAGTGGGACAGGAGTTCCAAATAGACTGCGAAGACGTGTGTGTCTGTATGACTGACGGAGAACTGGAGTGCCGTCCTGTCTGTAATGACACTTCTCTACTTCTCCCTACAGCTCCAAACCTCGTCTGTCGTGAGGAAATGAAGGGATGTTGTCCTACAACTGTTTGTGACGACAAAAGCCTTCCACCAGACAGTAAAGGTATCGACGTGTCAATGTTTAAAAGTATACTAAGGCAATATCTTAAAATACCACAGAATCTTAGTTTTAACTTAAGTTTGATGGAAATAGGGCAAAAATGTGAAAAAAGATACATTTAAAACAAAATCCCAACATGTAAATTGTGTCAATTGTAGTAAATAAGCTCACATTCTCAAATCAGAATGAGGTTAACAGTAAAAAAAGTCACCAGACTTATATAAATAAGCCACATATTGATATATGTTGCTTGGTTTTGATAAGGAAATTTTTTTGCTCTTGTATTCTTATATCAATTTAACCACAATGTGTATATGAAATATATGTGTGGCAAAGTCACATCACATGTATATTACGAAACTTTCACGGACGAAGATTATGGACAGAAAGTGCACACGAATCTTACAACTCGGGTTTGTTTCTGCCTGAGGTGTTCTAAAGAAGGCAATGTGTTATTATTATGTTTAATTTGTAAAAAAAAAAATGAAAAAAAAGTTATAACGCTATAGCTCGTTACCTTAGATATCAGGCTTGGGAAAACAGTTTATCAAATTATTCACAATACGCAGGGCAATACTATTGACTAACCGTTTTAAAATTCTGTTTTGGAAGCTAATTCTGATACCAATGTGTAATTGACATGGTGACTATCTGTTTTTCAAGCTATTAAACATTATTGATCCGACTAAATCAGTTTGTTTGCAAGGCAGCAGTCGAAGCAATTGGACATTGCTTGTTACGTATCAATTTTCAGCCAATTGCTATTTGCAAATAAGAGATAATGGCCGGCTGTAATATTCAAAATTAGTCCATGCATAAAAAAACAAGATAAATAATACCAACAGGTGAATATGATAATAATCGAGACTCAAATTCAATCAAACTAACACGGGTTATGAGCAAAAGAAATGGGGAAAAAAGCACAAAAAGTGAATATACATGATGACTCCAAAAAGTACAAGGATAACATGACCAGGTGTTCCGGAAGAATATGCGTCTTTATCGACGACATGCACCATGGTCAATCCAAGTATGTAATGTCACGTTCCCGAATAAGAACAATGTATACAATAGAACCAACAGGCATAGTTGCTCTATATTAATATCGCACAAAGAAATAGAGTATTTCGTTTTTCTGAATGAGATCATATTGACGATCGAAAACCTTCATCATAATATCAATCTGTCGTAACCCTGTGTTGTGGGTTTTCTGACAGCTGTCGTCATATTGCATGAAAATCGTGATATTGGGAACAAACCTTGACTGTCAAATCAACTGTAAACATGTAAACACCATAGGTTGGTTATACCAGGGACGTTGTCCTCAGGAAATTGATAATACACAATAGGGAATTTGAAATCATCACGCTTATCATACAGCTCGCTGGAAGACTGTACAAACGACAAACAAGTAAAAAGTACCCTTTCAAATTTTAGAGTGAGATACTGTAGTGCCAAACACTGAATTAAACTGCATCATATAGCTGTTTCGTCTGTTCTTGATGGTCAATACATTTCTTGACATTTCAAGTCAAGATGCTATCAAGATACCTGAAAGGGAAATTAAGGACTTCGCAACGCCTTTGTGACATGTTTTGATAAGCTTTTCAATATAATCAGCATTGTATGAAAGCAAAAACAAGTCAGCCAACAGTTCGTTTCCATGGATATGCCAAAAAACTGAAAGATCTTACCACCAAACGTGACGAAGATATTGCCAACCAGGAACACGACCATTTTTAATTAATTCGTATATTATTTCACAACCATTCAATTGTAAAATATCTGGAGGGATCGGAAAATTTGGTTTTTGAAGTAAAAATTATTTTGTGATCACACAGATTACACAGTATACATTTCAGTGTATGTTAGAACAAAAGATTGATTTAACCGATACAAATTAGGCTTTAAACGATAATATCAGATAACGAACCATTGTTTGGTGCATAATTCATGGATCGTGCATTGATGTTTATCGTACAACATTGCCTTGTCCTGAACATCAAACGCCTGACCCTTGGGGTGATATTTCCCTGTCTGAAGCCTACAAGAGTAATAGACTCTATTAAACATTGTAACAATGACATTAATATCTTTGTAATGAACACTGAGTTTTTCCCCTCTCTTTAGAGAAGGTTACTGTAGTTAAAGGTCCATCTTGTTGAAGATGCGTTTGTGACAGTCCAATCAATAAATCACAAGATTCGGTGGATCTGTATCATTAAATGTATAAGGTTCACGTTGATTTCACATTTATTTTCGTTCATGAAATCGAATCTGTCATGGATATCTTTATCTCTTTCGAAATTCTAAATGCATGAGCCTTACTGACGGAAAGATCCCCTACAACATCTTATCATAGTCGTTCTAAAAAAGATGTCATTTTTTCCCTTCAGAAACCCTTGGTATTTCTATTCTGAGCACGGTTTCCTTCTGAGGAGATTCAAGTTTCGCTCACTGAAATTTTCTGCTTTTTCACATTCAGCTGTTCTGGATCAATGCAGATATTTTTTTTTGCTTCTAGTATGTCAAGATACTGTAGAGAATTTGCTTTTTCGTTGGTTATTCTTTTTGTGGCTTTACCAAAAGCTTGAAAAAATTTAATTTTCATGTAATCGTGAAGAGAACAATGATTTTCTCTTTATAATATTATTTTCAATGCGTCATCCTTTTCGAGATGATAAAAGAGATCTCAATCCTAGGAGGTTAATTCTTCACCTTTTTAGCTTAAGTTTATTCTTCTGAAGGGTGAGACCTCCTATCCCACCACAAAGAGTTTGAACGATTATTTTTCCCCGTTGTTATATATATATATACCAGTCAAATGCTGATATTACCTCAATGTATGACTACTATACCTAAATGATGTCATTATTGTGTTGCCTCAACACCATAAATTTTCTATGGCAGAGGAGTCTAGCGTCTGAGCTCTAGGGAGTTTCGCATGCTTGATTGTTTCATAGTACAATGTAAAACGCTCTTAACCTTCAACAACAAACTTGTTCGACTAGTACCTTTTATGCCTCCCAGTAAACGATTCCTTAATTCATATCTTATTCTAGTTTCCTCGATTTTGCAATTCAATATATCATACGAGTTTATTGAAACATGTGTATTGTTCTTTCATATTTCGATTGTAGTGGAAACCTCCGTGGCCCTTGCTAACCACAACACATGTTCTAAATATAAAGATCGCGGAGTCCAGACATGGCATCAGGATTGTCACAGCTATTGTAACTGTACCGAAGACGATATCACATGTTACCCACTGTGTACAGCCAGATCAGAGCCGGTCATAACAAGAGATGACTGCCGGCTTGTCAATCAGCCTTATCTCTGCTGTCAGCAATGGTTATGTCAGCCAAGTAAGTACGCTTACCAAGGCCTCAGCGACACATTCCTTCAGTAATGTGTAAAATACAGTAACGATCTATCTGACGAAAATAACAAGTATAACAAATAAATTTGATCCTGTTTATTTTGTCGTTGATCTGAATTTTCGCATTATTATGAATAGCTTGAATCAAACCAGATGTATTTTTAAAAAACCGAAATATGGCTTTCTATATCAATAATATCAATAGTATTTTATTCTGTCCATGAAAACAACGAAAACAGAGCTTCTCCAAAGCAGCAACGTTTATAGCATCACATGTAGCAGCTTTATAAAAATAGTTTTCTGTGTGAATATATATCAAGATTCTTTAACCTTAACGTCTTGCGTAATATCAGCATTATATTAGCTTTTTTAAATTTAAAATGTTTCATAGTCTGTTAAACTAGAATTTAGTTCTGAAAATTTTATTTCCACCATTAATAATTCTATTAGGTCAAAAGCAACAAGAAAATACCAACATGTCAACATAATCATAATCCGAATATTTTTTTTAAATACTAAAACTGGTATTTTCCTTTCATTGATTTGCCGGTGAATCTATGTACTTCCATCGTTCTTTCTTTTCGAATTGCACGAAATTTTCGATTGATTTGGAAACATTTCAAAGTTAATGATATCATTCACTATCCAATGATTTTTTAGATGACGTCCATACCGTAACGTTAAACCTGACACTGCAGGTAGAAGGCATCTGTGATGAAACGGACCACGCCCTTCTCTCTGTACTCTCAGAGGCTGGCGCTTCCTTACTCTACTTTCACAGCTTGAGGGAGTGTTCGGTTCCTGGAGACGACGGAGTCTTGTGTACTATAGACAGAACTTATATACAGTGTCCAGGACCAAGTTTGGATACGATACAACTCATGTTATCAGTTTCATTCCATATACGGTAAATAAATGTCAATTTCAAGAAATATAGCTCCATTATAATAAAAACAATTCGCAAATATGTAAATGTAACTATATGTAACTGGAGAAAAAACAATTGAACCTCGTTTATATGAAATCCCAAAGTTTCAAACGAATCTGTATCAAAAGCGTTGTATGGGTGGTTTGTGCAGTTACGACCAAACTTATGTCTCAGCTTCTTCTTATCATACTTAGTACGATCAAAGCATGTTCACAGTATCATGATACCGATTACGTGTCAGCCATGTTATATTGATTATAAAGAACTCCAAATAGCTTTTAATTGATCTTCGACACATTTTTAAAATAATCTGTAAGAACATTTATTTTCCCTACCAAACCCCATTCAGAACTGTAGGAACGAATTTGTTTTGTTGGGGAGCTTTCTTTTCCACGAAAGGTGATCGGATGTACAAATATACCCAACGAAAAAGTTATGCAATCTGTAACATTTTATTCCAGTAAGCCAATAAATGTGATTTATTTTTTTCGTCAATAAGAGTTATGGTGCAGCTTGAATCAAATCTGGGCATTTCCCTCGCGGTGGCTTAGGTTCTTAATTGCGAAAAGATATCTTACTAGAAAGGGGTAACATCATTACACCAAAATTTGAGAGCGAGTATGTCTTCAAATCGCTGCCACTACAGCTTTACTGCGTCACTTCATGATTTTGATTAAACTTTTGATGTTGGCAATAGTAATCCTTTTCCATCCCTGGTGAAGAACACTTCGACGATATCAACATGACGATGTCGAACACGACTTCCAAGGACATCCCACACGTGTTTAATTCGGATTAAAGCCGGTGATGTTGCAGGCCATACAAATGTATGAACTTTTTTTCTGCCATAAAATAGTTTATGGGAGGCGTGCAGTGTGTGGATTATCCTACTAATAATGTGGCCATACATTGATGCATTACGGGACAGCCACTGAATTCTCAATTCCATCACAGTCCTGTCGTGCAGTTAGTTTTCCTTGGAATCTCACTTAATCAGCTTTTCCTTTCATCTGATCCCTCCATACACCTTCTCACCACCACAGACAACCGACCGCGTTGGATAAAGTTACCGGCGTCATATCCGTCGTGACGTTGTCTTCATACATGATTCCTTCCGTCAGCATACTGGACGGCTTCCTTACATTGGCGTCGGATGCATTGGTGATGTGTTACTGGCCTCTACCACGTAAATTTGAACCGTGCAGACAAGAAGCATGGTGCCTGGTAGTCCTGTATGTTTATTGGCATTTTTTTTGTCACAGACAGGAAAAGTTGACGTGTTTGACGTTTTAAAATAAAAATGGTCCTGTCGTATCGTCATTTTTTAAAAGTTTGTCCAGATCGAGAACAGTCAGAAACAGATCCTGTCATCTCTAAACGGGTCCCAGCTATTGATTCATTCAGACACTTCTCAATCAGTCGGTTACCTCGATATGTTCCTACAACGAAACTTATTTTCAATTTGCATATTTTGAATTTTCCATTACTGGATAGCAAAATCCTTGCATCGACAATCTATAGTATGTAATAGGTTTTGAATTTTAAGATTTCAAAACTTTAAATTAATCTTGATAAAACGAAGTCCTAGGGAAAGGAACGAATTCCTTAAATAATGATGTATTGAACCTTCCTGGGTGAAGAGGGGCGGGACAAAATAAAGTATACAATCTCATTACAATTATCTGCGAGTAGGTCGGAATTTAATAGCAGATATTCTATAAAAACAAGAAAATACTGACATGTCAACATAAATATAATTCAAAGTTCAATAAAACTACAGCAAAATATGAACAAGAGAAAGATTGACAAGGAGACTCCTGATAAAATACTCGCTGGTTTGATATTTCTTTGTATTCAATAAGACTGGTCCAAAATTAAAAAAAAAATGAAATTTGCGCAAAATTTTGAACGCGTTTAAACAAGATACATATTTATCCCTCCCTCTTTCATATTCACCTTAAAAGGCTTCTGTATTTTACAATACGTTGCAACGTTAGTAAAAATACTCACTTTAGAAAAAATGTTTAAACTGTGTAAAGCAGCCACACGTGTTCTAAACTTCACTTTAACGATAATCTCTAATAGCCTCCGAAAACTCCGGTTACTCTGACGACTAAATATAAATCTCAGGGACAATAAATTTAAAAAAAAGACATCAACACGCATTGGGTCACTAAAACAACAGCGAGTCAATAAGTAGAGACAACATACGGAGCCAATCACCGACCTGCATGGCGTAGCAACTTTTGTTATTTCACATTACCAATAACAAAGACAACTTTTAAAAGTTCATGATAATCATCTTGATGATTTTCACATAGTGACCCTAAAAATAAATGTTGGGCGATGTTATTCGGTTTAACTTTCTCGTCTTCCGTTCGAAAATGTTACTGTCCAATGATTTGTAGTTTGGCAAGTAATGAACAGATGATGCTAGATAGGCAGATCAAAGCTTTAGGTCGTTTAGAACGAGGTATTTAAAGCGGAGCAAGGTGATTAATTTGAATAGACAGGATATCCTGTCTGCTCTAAGTCATGCCGCTACTAACCAAGTATTGTGGCCTTAGATTCATCATTTTCTTCGTGTGAATTAATTCAAATAGTAAACACTGATACTGAATGGGTGGTAGAAGGGACATCATACAGTGACATGACCTCACAAGCTCTAAATATAGCATTGTCTTACTAAAATAGAATCACCAACATGTTTCTCAATACACTCAAGCATGGCAAATATCATTAAGTCTGTCTGTGACATCGGTTTCTCAAAAAGGAGGAGGAAAAATCCTTGTAAATTGAGTAAGAGCGTTGTTTAGTGTATATCCGTATCAAATTGCGCTTTGTCGTTAACATACTGGTATCATCCCTTTACACTAACTTAGTGTCCAGAGACAATTCACTAAAATTTGAGTTATGTATTGTTTTTTCCAGAATCACAAGCCATCACATTTCGTTAGATAATCTTGTTGCCTCGGTTTACAACCAGACTGAACATATGGTAACATCTGCTTTGTATGACGGAAACACGACATTCCCTTTAGCAGCCGTCCTTGCATCACATCCCATTTACACCTGCTGCAGGGGATTCTCGTGGAACGGCTTCAAATGTGGTAGATATCCTTAAGTATTGTTCACTCAAATGTGTGTTTTTTATTATTATTTTTTTTGATATCTACCAAAGAGTAAAACCAATTTAGCATGATTGCGTATTAAAGATTACTGTGGTTTGCTTCCGTTGGTTATCTCCTGAAAGACATTCCCAATAAGTATTGCATTTGAAAATTAAACGTTTTGTATATGTGCTTTACACCTTGCCATTGATCTGAATTCTAGATCATATGATTGATGTATAATACCTTTATACGATACTTATCTAATCCTGTATATAGGTCCATAATACACAATAAGGTATTCAATACAAATTTCATTTATTTATTTATTTATTTCATTCATTTCAGGAAAAGTACTCTTTGCAAGAAATCCACACATTTTTCTTTCATTTCAGTGAACATTAGCGAGTCTACGGGTCGGCTGTTCCAGATCTATCAGGTTCTGGAACGATCTGTCGTCCTCAACTGGTCTTTGTCATTGTATAACGAAGACGTCACAAGAATGGTCGTCTGCTGGAAACAGCTGGACGAGGAAACACAAGTTACACAGATCCCAGTCAACAAAACCAAAACAAAAATACATATTACTAACCTGGACCCTTCCACTATGTACACTGCATGGATGGATGTCCTTGTACAAAACGTCACGTGGATCCACTTCAAAGAAATTCACTTTTTGACAACAGCAGGTAAGGGACATCATCTTTAATATGTCAATGTAAAACACAATTTTAGGAAAACTATTAAAGTGCATTCTATCTACTGTTTTCGTGCAAGATTTCATTCATCTTCTTTTTTCTATATTTTTTGTTTGTTTGGATGTAAAGTTAAAGTATCAACCCCATTAAAACGGCTGTCCGAATGGCGGACTGTCAATCAAACAAAAGACGCTTACACTTCAGCAGAACCTGGTCTCTTTGCCGTTTTTTTGTTACCGTTTTATCGCTGATGGTTTTGTCCTATTTTGTAATTCTTTCAAATAAATCACCAAAGACAAAGAAAACTTTATTTTAATCAATACCATGTAAGCACCTTACATGTATTGTAATTTTAAGATATTGATGTAAACAAAAAATATTTTTTAAATGCTTTACTTTTCAGTATTCACTCAAATAATCTTCCCGCTAAAAATTAAATATCAGGTGAATAGAGCAAGCCTTACCTTATAGACTTTGTTGTCGTTTCTCAAAAACACGATGTAAAAACAAACAAATTTATGTTTGGTGGGTTAGATGTGCATACTACAATGTAGCTATATTGAAATAGCACTTGCGCTTTACCAGATACTAATCTAAACGAAAACATCGCATGTTTTTTTGAGCCATTGGGGTACAGCGTCTGGCAAAAGGCTCAACCGTGACAGCACAGACGGTCGTTATCTCGACTTCTTGATAAGCGCAAACCGTTCTGAGGAGGGGTCGAGTCTCACCTCGAATCTGCACCTGAGGTCAAGTGGTCCAGTGATATGCCTGCTGACTGATTTATCACGCTACATATCAAACCACTGGATTATTTTCTAAGACAGAAAACCCAAAGTTAACAGACATATTCTTTCAAACCTTGAAAAAATAAATATGACACAAGAGACCGAACATGCCCCGAGAAATTGATTTTGACTGCCATAACCATCGTCTGCGTCTGAAATGTCATTTCCCATTATTCCACGACTAAGATGTCTCCCCCCGGCTATTAAGTATCAATATCTGAAATGATAAGCGACATACAGCTACCAATATCTATCTATAGAAAACATCGGTTCTTTTCCATTACGCTTAGTTCAGCTAGAAATGCTTTCCTTTGACCAATTCATTAAACAGATAATAAAAGTCCGCTACACGCCACAATTACACTCCGCTCCGTACGCATCCCATTTCAGTCTCGGTCCTGTAAACAGATTTCACCCTGTACGTTGACGTTCTCTGTCTTGCAATCTGGCAAGTTTCTTTGGCAAAGACTAACATTGTTGGTGTTCTTCTATCCAATAAAATGTATCACAACAGTGTGGTATCCAAGTCGGAGTAGAACCGACGATTGTACCCAGTGATAAATGTATCATATGAGTGGTTCTATGTGTGCGTTCAATACAAAGGAAAGAAAAAATTCCTTGTAGGAAAAAAGTCGGGCTACGTGATGTTCACTTTAGATATATCTCTTCAGTGAACGCAAATGACTTTAAAACGAATCAAGGACGAAATTTCAGATAAATATCGTGAGATAAATGGTTACTTGAAACTCTCATATCCTAATGATTCCGACTACTGCAGTGAGAAGCAATACAATGATTCAACAATACTGTTCTTTACTAACGAAAATTTAATTTGAAATTGGCTATATAAGGCAAATCAACTTCCTATATAAAAAAACATAACTGTCCTGACGCTTTATCGGTACAGAATCCGGTTTAAAAATAAATCCTCTGGTGAAAGTTTTGAATAACAGTCATCGTGTCACATAGCAGGACGACTTTCTCTGTAACCGGAAAAAATCGGATCCACCAAGAATGATATCTGTGGAAATGTGATCATCCAAGTCACTGGCGTCCCACTGGTCTGACCATAGATCGTCTGTGGCAATATCTCATCTTGGATCTCGTCCGACGGACGATAGAAATTACATGGATGAACCTTCTCCGTTTGGTAAATTACACACCGCCATGAATCTGTCTGCAATATTGTAATTGCTGGAACGCAAACCCATTGATGTTGATATCGAAACTTGTTTGTTATCTTAGGTTTCGTTTCGTTTCTTTCTGTTATGAATGTTCTTATCGTATCGGGGAGAGGAAAAAATGGAAGCAAAAGTATTGATTAATAGGACGTGATGAAATACCCCCAAGAGGTCACCATCCAATTTACAAAAACATGGTGAGTTAAACAATGCATATGTGACAGTCGAGACCAGAAAGACAAATGGTTTTAATGATAAAAGCTAAAGGATTTGTTCAATACGAAACCATGTTAGATTTTAGAACTTGATGTCGGCTTTTTGACATAAAACATAGTCCATGGGCATCACTCTAAAGGAGTGTTTCATCTTAGTTCAATAGAAATCGAGTTATTACTGTCGTGTACTCACCACTTAGCAGGAAATGGTAACATGATCTCTCACCAAAGAGTTCTCCACCTGACGAAAATGTTCTCATTTTTTGTTTCTCGAATAAGTAAAAAATAGCTTACGTATTTACAATGCATCTTCGAACGTTCTACTTCTTAAAGTATATTCCATTCGCTTAGCAATTTCAAACCATTGAGAATGTTTTCAATTAATTATAGATTTTCCCGATTTTTTAAAAATTTACTGCCACATCATGAATCACGACAATAAAAAACTATGAAATACAATTCAATCAATTATTGATTCTAATTTGTAGAAATGATAGCACGACCTCCACGATACTGTTTAATCCTTGCAGTTAATTTTGCTAATTGTCCTGTGCATGACTGTAAACATTGATGTAATTGGCCCGCCACGCGCCAGGTTTACCCCTAAGTCATGTTACAGGGATCAGTCTGCAGAGATGTCCTGTCAGGATGTCTATCACTTTGCTTACCAATCCGTGTCAGACTTTAATAGGCGAATAATGAGGGCGAATTGATTGGATTGAGCGAAAGCATTTATTTTGTCGTGTTACGCACCATACATCGTCTTGTGCTTGCAGAGGTTTTTCGCCGGACGCTAGGTAGACCCATTCATTTAATGCGTTCAGCTTTATGCAACAAGTCACAAATCACATGTTGGTATTGATTTTATAGAAAGCAATCAGAGCTGGAGTCTGACTGTTTCCTCTACGAACATATAAATCTATGTCGTCTTTGTTATACATGTATAAGTAAACAAAAGGTCAACGTGACCTGCATCGCTCACCTGGCTAATTCAGCTATTCAGTCATTTAACAAAGAATTTTAGATACGACAAATAATTCCAGAAATATTTTTTTAATATTTAATATTCTTCTTTGGAGAAGGATTTTCAAAAACTTATATTTTTCTCTCTTGGGCCCCATATCTCAGATTTCAGATCCTGGTTGATATAAAAGTAAGTTCCTTTCAACTAAGTTTGCTTCAAACCAAATCGGGACAGAATTAAGGAATTCCCGCTAAGGAAGGATGTTAGATGATTGCCTTTGTTTCCCACTATTCGGCCACGCCCCAGAAGACCGAGATCCACCATCTATGCAAAACTGATTCGCTTTCACCTAAATGTGGTTCGGACCCAATCAAGACAGAGTCCTAATATTTCTATAGATAAGAAAAAAAGGAGGATTTTAAAGAATTTGCTCTATTTCCTCTATTGGGCCTTGTCCCTTCCACTTCAGATGGCCAAGATCCATCGTTTATACAAAGTGATTCCCCTTCACCAAAACATGCTTCAGATTAAATTGGGATTACATCCAGAATTTCCTAAAGAAAGATCATTTTAGAGAAGTTACTCTGTTTCCCATAGATCAACTGTTTATACAAAATTGATTCCTCTTTGCCGAACAATGCTTAGACAAAAGAAGCCTTTTTGCGGATGATTTATCGTCTTTTCGGGGCGTCAAAAAAAATTACAAAGAAGGTGTAGAACCCATCCTATAAAAAGGGACGGAAACTACGTAAACACTACACGGAAAGTTCAATACACAAATATAGATCAGTTTTATCCCTATCTATATAAAGATGTAACGCAGTGAAAGGGGATACCTACTGGTCTATAAAAGACATCCCAGTGTAACGTACCAACTGGTACCCTGCATCTCCATTCAATGATTGTTAATGAAAGAGAAAGTTATAGTGAATCACAGAATTGGTTATGATCTTAGATGCAATCTATTAACAGGCCACTCTCTCATCCTGATTTTTATCATTTATCATTTTTATCATATCGAAGTAAAACAGAGGACATTGCAAACGTACCAATCTCCAAGAAGAAGCTTTATGTGTGCCATTTATGAATGAAGGTACCCAGAACAAGTACAGAACCTCTACTATAAAGAATTCATTATAGGGACCCATGCTGTCACTTTTATAAAGACTGAAGTTTAACATCGAACACCATAGGACACATCACTTGTGTTAATAACACATAAACTATTTAGCAAAGTATTAAAATAATTTTTATGGTTTTGTTTTTTTTTTCAAATTTTGAAGTATCGTGGAATCAAGTATGTTATCGACATGATTTTTTTTTTTATAAAACACTGATCATGCTTTGATGTTGATAATATCAACGCAGCCTTGTCATGTTGCTGAGCAACCAACAAATCACAACTCTGCACACACGTTGAACACATAGTGAGCACATGGTAACCGGACGATAAAGGATGGTGTGCCTTGTTGTCCGGTTTGGCCCGCAAACATGTCCTATTCAAACCACTGAGTAGATCGATATAGTTTCAACACAATAACGTAAAGATCTAATTCTCATTTTTTGTAAATTTTGATACAAAGCCCAGATATTGGCCTAGTGCAGATATCAAGTGGTGCTCTGGCTCTGATAACTGAACTAGACTTAAACGATTCGGTTTTTATCACGAAGTTCGAAATGACAACTGATGTATTTCTGTTTCAATGTAATTAGTAAGACATAGGTTGATTATGATACATGGGCTATATATTTACTTGACTTTTCTTTTTTCTTTCTTTTTTTGTTTTGTTTTATTTTTCAAAACAAATTAATAAGGAAAAAATTACATCACGATTAAACTTGAAAGAACAGCCAAGTAACATTAACTTAATTACGCGCTTTTTAAAGTTTAATGGCATCCTGCTATCTATCGGTACTAATCGACTTTAAACCGAGATCAAATGTGACATGCATTAATTAAAATCACGTAATCTTGTTTACGTTCCTGACTTTTGCGATGTACCCGACAACACTTCATGCCTGCACTTTAAACATATGTTTTATCTTTCAGAACCACTAATTGACACACGTACCTACCAGAACTACCTGGTTGGAGTCATTGTCGCCATGGTAACCGTTACAGTGGGTGTACTGGTGGGCGTGTCAATACTCATTATCCGGAAACGTTGGCTGACACACAAGAATCATATACCTCAACAAAACGCCTTTGAGAACAAGATATTTGAGGTGATGTTGTTTAACACAGTCATTGATAAAAAAAATCATGTTAACAGAACTTTTTTTTGAATTACAATAATTCCTTTCTTCACATAGCGAAATATCCCCAATTTTAGAGACATGCCCGACCTTATGTTTCTCAAGCAATTTTACGAATACGTAACACACAAGGTGTTGTAAGTCATGCCAGAACAACGTACATGTATGAGGAAACATTTCCTGCGCATAAATTGTTTCATATACTCCAAATTATCATTACCTTTAATGTTTCAATTATTTCAATAGTATAAATTTATCAAAATTTGGAATAAAAATGTTTCTTTCACGGAAGTCATAAAACGAACTTTCTCTATTGATATCATTTTCCTTGTATCTAATTTTTGCGGTTACATTCCATCCTCGAAATTAACGCAATCAAAAATTACAAACTTTAAAGTAATTCTGTTGTTTTGAAGTTATCCAATAGATTGTTTTTGTAAAATTAAGACATTGATACATACGTTCAATTCTAATCCAAATTTTAAAGGATCTCAATTCATTTGTCTTTATATTAGGCAACTGTAGACTGTTGTTGGAATTTTTCAGACTTAAAAGCCATCTGATTTTCATTGGAGCTGGAAAACCACATGAAAATTGGTATCTTAACATTTTGTAAGTCATTATTTTTGAAGTTGAAAAGCGTGCTGAAACATTTGCTGAAGTAGCGAAAAAATAGGACTTGTTCCGTTAAGTCTATTTCTTTTATAGCTTTAACGGCGCTGACGGTTTTATGTTTTCTGAAATGAAAATTCGCAATATTCAGGGAATTCCCCGTGTTGAGATTTCTGGAAAAAAAGTGGTATTAAGGAATAAATTACAAATGAACGGTCGTCATGTGAACAAAATTGGCTACAAAATCCCACTTGATCTCCTAATTACTTCTCGATGTGTATTTAGGAGAGGTTTTCGAGCGTTATATGTCATTATAATTGGTTACCAAGAGTACTAGAATAACGCGTTAAATTTTAGCATCACGGATTTAAATGCTTCTGAAATTGATTTGAGACCAGCACTAGGATCAATGTGTCATAACGATTTTTTCTCTCACTTTTAAGTTAATTTTGGTGAAACTTGGCCTGACATTGCACCGTCAATTCAGTAAAAGCCTATATCGATATTATATAGCAACGGTACTTACCTGTCCCAACTCAGCAAATGTCAATGAAACGATATAAAAATCAAAGCCTAATTCATGCTGAAAATTACTGACCAGGAGACCATTGAACATCGCCAATAGCATTATTGTCGGCTTGCATCCGCCGTCAGATTTCCACATATATGCTGAAATGGCAACAGATGCTTAGATTGTAGATCTGGCTTTAAACTAAAAATCTCAGAACCATAAAAAGAAGTTAGCATTGACAATGTGTAATGAGATGTTGCTCTCTTGGTGTTAAAACAATGCATGAAAAACTATGAAACAAAAAAAAAGAAAAAAGGATTCCCTACGGAATTATTAATCAAAACATTACCAACTACCCAACACCAGCCAGTAATTCCATCTGGTTTACCACAATGTTGTGTCAGTCGGGATATCGTGATCATTTCAGTTTCCTTACTCTGATTTTTAACATTTTTTGCATAGTAACGAGCCTGCTTTCCCAGACAGCGTTGTTAACAAACCCGAGTCATTGATTTTACTTGTTTCGACGAACGTGGATCTTAAATCGACTCCTTGGTTTTTAAAACTATTAATCGACTTGGTTCTATTATATCTAATTCAAAATTTGTATTAAATGGGCTATTAAGTTTTGTGTTTTTTGTACAATTTTCGATATTGGTGGAGGTAGATGAATATTTCGGCCACGAAGTTTGACGAAAGTTGCACGCCACATTTTCATTTATACACACACATGCACTTGACGTTTTCTTTCGAAATCTAATAAATTTTAGTTTTTGTGCACCGTCCGTCTGTTTTCATTTATTTCGACGTAACTGGGTCTCCTTTTTCGTGCTGTAGGTTTTAACAGTTTAGGCCCTTGGCATTACTTCCAAGTTCTAGAAGGACGAGAGAGTTAATTCATTTTGCTTTACTGGACCTAATTCTACATCTGTCTTGATTTACTTGAGTTACTCTCTTGCGAGTCTTCCGTAGAATATATGTGAAATTCTTAGTGTTTGAATTTGTTCCAGATTTACATAGCGGATAACGCTTCCTATTCCGGAACATATGGTCTTGTCTTTAATGTACTTTTTAAAAGGCAACCGTGGTCACGTTCTATCGATTTTGATATCCTCCTAGTTCGTTCAATAATCACCATTCTAGTGTCTTTATTTTATTTTAGTACTATACATAAATAAATGAGGTCACTATTAGTTCCAATGCGTCCTCTATGTTTTGAACCCTGTATCCCTGGTTTACCAGTGTGACCCTCAACCGATCAAGCAAAAACGTGTTCTCTAGGCAAGCGGCATACTGCAGCTAGTATGTTGCGAGAGTTACAGATAACAAAGTGGTAAATGATGATATTTCATACAATATAATATGGTAGATATGTGTTCTTTTGTCTAGAAATCTTCAGACAGAAAAAAAATCAAAGTTGTTTTATTTCATCTTGTGTTCACATTAGTTTTATATTCTCTCTTCCATTTAAATAAATGTGGTTTTCTCAGTTCAGTTTTTCACAACGACCCAGAGTCCATCACATCATTTACAGTAATGTACCAGTAAGAGTGTTTTTTGACAATTTTCTTACAGATACGAGTAAGGGAGGACGGGATCTACTGAACAAAATCCCATCAATCCAGAAATATTCTACGTTTCGAATCTCTATTGCTGATAAGACTGTCATGAAATGCTGTAGCCCCAAGTGGCAGGATACAGATAGAGAGCTCGTGGATGTTAAATCGTGGAATCAAGCATTTGCTGCTCGCTGAGGGATGTACTAACACGCAAAATTCCCTTTCTCTACCAAATACAACCATCCCTAGTGTATATGTTTGCAATTTCCTATAATTATGTACAGTTGTAGAATGTAATAACTGTTGTCCGATACATGTCTCTATCTGGTACAACTTCTGCATATCATCAACAATATCTAATTGTTGATATTCCATGTTTGAGGGTAACTAAACACACTGTTAGCACATTGCTGAATCAGTGTATTCTATTAACACTTCAAAATGACAACGGTTTCGTTCTTCATGTTTATAACAGGGCACATAAATGATTTTGGCGTAAAGCTTTTACATCAAAACCATCACTAGTTTCTTTTCTTGAAATTCGGAAACAGATTGGAGTTACAAGGAAACCTGTACTATACATCAATATACTTTGTACCGATACTTAGGAATGGAAAAGTTTAATACTCTAACGGTATTTGTTGAATTACATTGGAAAATATTACTTTAATTTTTTTTTATTTAGTCATTCCAAGGGCAGATTTGTACCTGTAGTGCACTGAAGCTGTAAATTTCATATTGCATACAGCAGTTTTGTTAATCTGTGTAGCACATAAGTCTGGCTTTGTTAGTATGGATTTGGGAATTATTCTGTTGGCTGCTTAAAGTAGTTAAATGTGATATCTTACTGTTTGTGAAAGCTTTAGCTATTTGTAAGATTTTATAAGTTTGTAAGGACTCTGTTCGTACAATATGGCAAAGAAATCAAAATGGCTTCATTGTCTTTGCTCATTTTCACTCCTTTTCTGCAATATTTTCTGAACGGTTAATAATAAATTTGTATCCATTATGTTCCCGAATCCCTTTTCACAGTTGAAAACAACCAAGGATTTTTCATTGTATTATTAAGATTTATTGAAATACGTATGCAGTCTATACCAGATATCTACTGATCATTACCACAGATCTGCTTTACAGTGAAGATATGTATTTAACAGCTGTCATTGTGTTACCAATGTCTGTTTTGTGTAGTACTTTTGCTTTACAGTGAAGATATGTACTTAACAGCTGTCATTGTGCTACCAATGTCTGTTTTGTTTAATACTTTTGCTTTACACAGCCATTTCATCTGACTGTGTTACAAATTTATTTTACTCATGTTGTGGTTTAATAGCTCTATTGCGATGATGGTGGTGCTAAAAGTGTACTTTGCCCATTTTTTTTCCTTTTTAGTTTTCGTTTATTTACCAGATAGCCCACTGCTGATGTTAATTACCACAGGTAGTTCTTTTATGAACTAATTTGTTCATTTTAATGTCATAAAGTCAGCTTCTAAATTGCTGATGACATCAGTGTGAATAAAAACTTGCTCGATGTTGTATAAAAACTAATATTTGGCCAATATTTTGGACTGTAAATTATTGAATCGCACCAGTTTGATAAATATATAAATGTGAAGCAACACATTCTTCAAATCCAAAAAGCCTTCTTATTTGTAAAGATTTATCTTTCTGTGGGAGTGTTGTCAAACGTTTAAAATATCAAATTTTTTCAACTTAATTGTGAATATTGTATGTTCTGTAAATCATTCAAAGTCATGTTTTTAATTCTTTTTTTTTCTTCCTTTTTAAATGTGTATTGCAGAAGATTGTTTTTACTGAATTTATCATGGAGAGCTTGTAAGGAAGACAAGGCAATATTACTAAAACCTTTGTCAGCCTTACAAAAGATTAATATTTCTAGTTAAGGAAGACAAGGCAATATTACTAAAACCTTTGTCAGCCTTACAAAAGATTAATATTTCTAGTTAAGGAAGACAAGGCAATATTACTAAAACCTTTGTCAGCCTTACAAAAGATTAATATTTCTAGTTAAGGAAGACAAGGCAATATTACTAAAACCTTTGTCAGCCTTACAAAAGATTAATATTTCTAGTCTCTGAGTCCTAATGCAATAAAGCAAATATGATAAATTACCAAATATCAGTATATGTTGCCTTTTCCAAAGTCTTGTATATATTTTCAGAGAAATAATTCATTTAAAGAATAAAAAAGACCAATTTCACAAAATTAATTAATTTTAATATAAAGATTACATCATTGCGTGATTATGTACAAATACTTGAACCGAAATAGACAGGAAGACAATAAAAATCAAATCATGGCAGGAATCCTTTAATAAATGGGAGCTAACGATAATTAACTTTAAATCTGCTTAAACATGTTTAAACATGGCAACATAATTTACAACCTAATGTAGCATGGTAATAACAAACATATCAATAATCAACTATTACATAACAGAGACCCATCCATACCTTACACAAACTATTTCCCTTACAGAGGAGGGACTAACTTTTATCACAATTACACATCCCTGATTTGTGTTAAGACTCGGATCAAATGAAATTGAATTAATTAGAAAGACGTGTCACTTTCAATAACCAGTACACAGAAATTAACCTCAAAAACGTGTTTTTCAAACCAACGGAAAATCAGTCAGCATTTGACATCAAAATATTCTATGTATATCTATATACACATGAATGTTCCTTCACTAGATACAGCAGGTGACATGAATCCATGTAGTTTTTTTTAAGGCTAGTGACTATTTTAGTGTAAGACGAATTAGGAAAGTCCGAGGATTTCCTCTGTGTCAGGGTCAATGTCGATGTCATAGAAACAGGGTCGTGTAGGTAATCCTGGCATGGTGCTCATCTAAAACATAAAATATGTCACTATTTTTATGATCTACTATATCACTGAATTGTATATAGGTTGTATATAACTGATATTGTAATGTTTGCACTCAAAAAATGTCAGACTTTTCAAATCTTTTCACATTTGTATCATACAGCATCTGCTTGCATTAAAACCTTTTGAAGGTACTACAGTGTATCTTAATTTCAAAGATGTTAAACCAATCACCAGGAAACTACAAGTGGATAAAACCAATTCCATTTCAAATAAAGAACTATGCAGTCATTTTACATTTTTCATATCATTGAAAACAAGCATATTGTGTAGAAACAAAAAATCAAGTGGATAAGATGCGCAACCAGGAAATAAAATTTCCATCGTTTCTAATATAAATCACATAATATATCAGTTTTCTATACAGATCCAGGTATTACTGTCCACTTTCCAATTTTCACTGGCGATAAAACCAAAAGAACGATATTACAACTTCACATGAAACTGTACATTTATATGGAATTTAAATGTTTGTTTTGCTTCAAGCTGTAAACAGTTTAAATTTATATAATAAATATTTTTAAAGAACCATTTTATTGTTGTTTTGCAATCATAAACTTATAATGAATCTACAAATTTCAGAGGAAACTGTGACACCTCATTTTGCCAAGGGCAGGGCTGTATTCTGGGGATGAATTTAGAAGTACAGTGGTTAACTAAGGATCTAGACTGTTATATCTAATCTCTGGGGGCAGGGCTGTATTCTGGGGATGAATTTAGAAGTACAGCTATTAACTAAGGATCTAGACTGTTATATCTAATCTCTGGGGGCAGGGCTGTATTTGGGGATGAATTTAGAAGTGCAGCTATTAACTAAGGATCTAGACTGTTATATCTAATCTCTGGGGGCAGGGCTGTATTCTGGGGATGAATTTAGAAGTACAGCTATTAACTAAGGATCTAGACTGTTATATCTAATCTCTGGGGGCAGGGCTGTATTCTGGGGATGAATTTAGAAGTACAGCTATTAACTAAGGATCTAGACTGTTATATCTAATCTCTGGGGGCAGGACTGTATCCTGGGGATGAATTTAGAAGTACAGCTATTAACTAAGGATCTAGACTGTTATATCTAATCTCTGGGGACAGGGCTGGACCCTTGGGATGGATTTAAAAGTAAAACTATTAACTAAGGATCTAGACTGTTATATCTAATCTCTGGGGGCAGGGCTGGACTCTGAGGATGAATTTAGAAGTGCAGCTATTAACTAAGGATCTAGACTGTTATATCTAATCTCTGGGGGCAGGGCTGGATCCTTAAGATGGATTTAAAAGTACAGCTATTAACTAAGGACCTAAACTGTTATATCTAATCTCTGGGGGCAGGGCTGGACCCTTGGGATGGATTTAGAAATACAGCTATTAACTAAGGATCTATACCTTTATATCTAATCTCTGTATGGGTAACATAAGGAAGGTGATCTAAACCATTGGCATGCATTCTTTCCGTCCCAACTATGTGATAATTCATCTTTAAATGATTAAAATTTGAATCACTGTTAAGCAGTTTTACAAGCAAAACAAATGGAAGTCATATCCCTTTAAAGGCTGCACAAAAATCCTGATCATGTGGCCCCATCCCTTTAAAGCTACACAAAAATCCTTATCATATGGCCCCATCCCTTTATAGGCTGCACAAAAATCCTTATCATATGGGCCCATCCCTTTATAGGCTGTACAAAAATCCTTATCATACAGCCCCTTTCCTTTTAAAGCTAAACAAAAACCCTTATATGGCCCCATGCCTTTATAGGTGGCATAAAAATCCTTATCATATGGCCTCATCCCTTTAAAGCTACACAAAAATCCTTATATGGCCCCATGCCTTTATAGGCTGCACAAAAATCCTTATCATATGGCCCCATCCTTTTATAGGTACACAAAAATCCTTATCATATGGCCCCATCCCTTTATAGGCTGCACAAAAATCCTTATCATATGGCCTCATCCCTTTAAAGCTACACAAAAATCCTTATATGGCCCCATGCCTTTATAGGCTGCACAAAAATCCTTATCATATGGCCCCATCCCTTTATAAGCTGCACAAAAGTCCTTATATGGCCCGATCCCTTTATAAGCTGCACAAAAATCCTTATCATATGGCCCCATCCCTTTATAGGCTGCACAAAAATCCTGATCATATGGCCTCATCCCTTTATAGGCTTCACAAAAATCCTTATCATATGGCCTCATCCCTTTATAAGCTGCACAAAAGTCCTTATATGGCCCGATCCCTTTATAGACTGCACAAAAACCCTTATCATATGGCCCCACTCTTTATAGGCTACACAAAAATCCTTATCATATGGCCCTATCCCTTTAGAGGCTACACAAAAATCCTTATCATATGGCCCCATCCCTTTATAGGCTGCACAAAAATCCTTATCATATGGCCCCATCCCTTTATAGGCTGCACAAAAGTCCTGATCATATGGCCCCATCCCTTTATAGGCTGCACAAAAATCCTTATCATATGGCCCTATGCCTTTACAGCTACACAAAAATCCTTATCATATGGCCCCATCCCTTTATAGGTACACAAAAATCCTAATCATATGGCCCCATCCCTTTATAGGCTTCACAAAAATCCTAATCATATGGCCTCATCCCTTTATAGGTACACAAAAATCCTTATCATATGGCCCCATCCCTTTATAGGTACACAAAAATCCTTATCATATGGCCTCATCCCTTTATAGGTACACAAAAATCCTTATCATATGGCCCCATCCCTTTATAGGCTTCACAAAAATCCTTATCATATGGCCTCATCCCTTTATAGGTACACAAAAATCCTTATCATATGGCCCCATCCCTTTATAGGCTTCACAAAAATCCTTATCATATGGCCCCATCCCTTTATAGGTACACAAAAATCCTTATCATATGGCCCCATCCCTTTATAGGTACACAAAAATCCTAATCATATGGCCCCATCCCTTTATAGGTACACAAAAATCCTAATCATATGGCCCCATCCCTTTATAGGCTGCACAAAAATCCTGATCATATGGCCTCATCCCTTTATAGGTACACAAAAATCCTTATCATATGGGCCCCATCCCTTTATAGGCTGCACAAAAATCCTGATAATATGGCCCCATCCCTTTATAGGTACACAAAAATCCTTATCATATGGCCCCATCCCTTTATAGGCTTCACAAAAATCCTTATCATATGGCCCCATCCCTTTATAGGCTTCACAAAAATCCTGATAATATGGCCCCATCCCTTTATAGGTACACAAAAATCCTTATCATATGGCCCCATCCCTTTATAGGCTTCACAAAAATCCTTATCATATGGCCCCATCCCTTTATAGGCTGCACAAAAATCCTGATAATATGGCCCCATCCCTTTAAAGCTACACAAAAATCCTAATCATATGGCCCCATCCCTTTATAGGTACACAAAAATCCAAATCATATGGCCCCATCCCTTTATAGGTACACAAAAATCCTTATCATATGGCCCCATCCCTTTATAGGTACACAAAAATCCTAATCATATGGCCCCATCCCTTTATAGGTACACAAAAATCCTTATCATATGGCCCCATCCCTTTATAGGTACACAAAAATCCTGATCATATGGCCCCATCCCTTTATAGGCTGCACAAAAATCCTAACCATATGGCCCCATCCCTTTATAGTTACACAAAAATCCTGATCATATGGCCCCATCCCTTTATAGGTACACAAAAATCCTTATCATATGGCCCCATCCCTTTACAGGTACACAAAAATCCTTATCATATGGCCCCATCCCTTTATAGGTACACAAAAATCCTGATCATATGGCCCCATCCCTTTATAGGTACACAAAAATCCTTATCATATGGACCCATCCCTTTATAGGTACACATAAATCCTTATCATATGGCCCCATCCCTTTATAGGCTGCACAAAAATCCTAACCATATGGCCCCATCCCTTTATAGGTACACAAAAATCCTGATCATATGGCCCCATCCCTTTATAGGTACACAAAAATCCTTATCATATGGCCCCATCCCTTTACAGGTACACAAAAATCCTTATCATATGGCCCCATCCCTTTATAGGTACACAAAAATCCTGATCATATGGCCCCATCCCTTTATAGGTACACAAAAATCCTTATCATATGGACCCATCCCTTTATAGGTACACATAAATCCTTATCATATGGCCCCATCCCTTTATAGGTACACAAAAATCCTTATCATATGGACCCATCCCTTTATAGGTACACAAAAATCCTAATCATATGAAATACAGTCATCTTTTGCTATTTATTAATTTAAGATATTTATCTTGAGCACAAACAGCGATTGAAAACTATTTTTTGCAAGTTTTTGAGAATATCTTTCTTCATCAAGTAAAAAACCAACGAGTCCTTGTGCTTATGCAGTTTTTGACACCACATCCGATTGAAATAGTTTGATTAAGCTGTAATTTTAGATTTGAAAGCAAAAAGAGCCTAAACTTTACACCTCAGGCCATGTCATTTAGACCCAAAGGAACAAAACTTATACATGTTTTGTATAAAATTTTGCTAAACAAGTTCAGTCAGGTGATGTTTCTCAAAAATGATGTGAACAATCCAAAAAGCTGAAGCAATATGCTTAGAAAGATTCAATTACGTGATCTAAGGCAAATATGTATACAGATAGATCTACTTACAGCTCCAAGTAGAGGGAAGATGAAACCTGCTCCAATGCTAGCTCGGACTTCTCTGATGGGTACAGTGAACCCTTTAGGGGCTCCCTTCTTACTCGGATCATGTGACAGAGACAAATGGGTCTTTGCCATACAAATTGGGAGGTCGTTGAATCCCTAGTTAGATATACAATATATGTATACAATTTAATAAGTTATCTCCCATTCACTACATAATAGAATTTCATGAACATTAAACAAAGCAATTAAAAATATTTCAGAATTTAAGTATCTACTGTATAAACACATGTTTTGTGGCATATTTGTGAAATCACTATGAAATCTCACATTAAAGAATGTACAAAAAACACACAAGTCAACGGCACGTTCAGTTCAAATTAGAGACAATATAGCCTTACAATAATTTTTAAAAGGCATCACACAGCTGTTTCATCCTCAGACAATTAGGCCAAAAGAACAATACTTTTCAAATTGAGGAGACAACAGAAGATCTCTGAATGTTTCCTAAAATGCCTTATAGACTGTCTAACTTTCCCTTGGTCTGTAAGTTCCCTGAGGTACCTTATAGACTGTGAAAGTTTCTCTCAGTCTTTAGGTCCCTTGAGGTATCGGAGGTAGACTAACTTTTCCTTAGACTAGCAGCTTCAGACTTCAAACAAAATTCTGCAGGTAAGTTTTATTAACAATAGTGTCCATAACATGTTGCTTGAAGTTAATCCTAATTGATGTTGGGATCCTTACCTGTCTTTTATAACGGTCAATCTGCTCCTGAGCAGCAGGTAGGATTTCTATACCATCTGCACCATATATCTCCTTTGTAATTATTTCAATCTTTTCTTCAATAGACAACTACAAAATCAAAATAAACAATTTAGAGGAGTAGCAATAGAATTAGATAGAATTATCTGCAAAAGAAATGAACATCTCACCATCTGAACAGAGCAAGTCAATAGTATGTATACAAAAAAAAGAATTGAAAAAAAAATTATGAAAATAAAATTGGAGAGAAAACATGAACTTCCGAACATGGATTTGTTATGTGACACATTGCCAAGAATTTTGTGAGATGTAACCAATGTTACCTAGTAATAGAAAATAACAACTAATACTGACCTTGACATCATAGAGGAATTTAAAGTTGCTTGGTTCACTGGTTGCCTTGTCGACAGCCACAGCCAGGTCTGCAGCACCAGCTCCACCGTCAGCCCAGTGACTACAGATGACCGCGTCAAATGCACCATTCTCACGCGCAAACTTCTGAACCAGAGCTACCTCTGCCGGTGTGTCTGTCCTGTCAACACAGAAACAGGTCTTAAAATTTCTCGATTTCTAAAACTTTATACACTAATAAATGTTGCTGGTATTAAAAAGAAGCTACTGACAGGGTCAAATACATTCTTATAAAACAGATAAAACAAAATTTTTAATGGGCCTTTTTTGTTCACCTAAAGAGTCAGTAGTTATGTTTGTATGTATATTTTATCTCCTCTCCTGACCCTCAAAGTATCTAAATATCACTGATACAAGTTATACATAGCTCTATGAAAGTAAGGTTCATTGTTTTTAACAATGAAATTTTCTTCATTATTAACCTAGGTTTTCTTGTTCTTTGGAGCTGTGTTCAGTTACCTTTCATACTCAAGACATCTTGGTCAAGGTCAATAATTTTAACACCTCGATGCCTGTTTGTAAACACTACTTATTTAGAAAATATTTACAATCAAAGAAGATCAAAATGATTCGTTCAGAAAATCCTCTACCCCTAAATCATCCTTGCCAAATATTGTGAAGAATTCTAAAACATTGCATACCAGACATGATTGTTCTTCAAAATAAGTTTGATAACACAGTTTGACCTGCCTTAAAAGTCACATGCACCCTATAAAAAGTATTTGCAATAACAAGGCCATTGGAAATGTAGTAACTTTACCTCTGTATAAAGATTTCTGGTCTTTTGAGTGACATTTATAGACAGGTTTGAGAGTATGATTACTGTATCAGGACTGTTCCTGTGTGACCTTTATAGACAATTTTGACCATAATTTCTATATCTCTGCTCCCTTGGATGACCTATATAGACAGGTTTGACTATAATTTCTATATCTCTGCTCCCTTGGATGACCTATATAGACAGGTTTGACTATAATTTCTATATCTCTGCTCCCGTGTGTGACCTTTATAGACAGGTTTTACTACAATTTCTATATCTCTGCTCCCTTGTGTGAACTTTATAGACATTTTTTACTATAATTTCTATATCTCTATGTCTATGAGTGATCTCTATAGACAGCGTTGAATGTATGATTTCTCTATCTTGACTGCTGCCTTTGATGAGTTTCAATATGAATGCAGTACTTACACAAAGGAGTTGATAGCTACAACAACAGGGATTCCAAACTTGTTGGCATTTTCTATCTGTTTCCCAAGATTAAGACAACCTTGTTGCAAAAGTTCCAAATTCTGTAAAAAATGAGAAGACTACCTTTAGAGAATAGACTGGAAAATATGTTATGATAACTTAGGGTGTAAGTGTAAGGCTAATATCTAATGACACTTCTTTTGAAGTGAACATTGAACTCTTTGATGGGTTCATAAAATATCTTATTGATTTGTCCATGCAGCGGCACTAACGAGGTAAAAGGAAACTAAAGTTATTAAGGGAAACTTCCTTCTTGGTAATAATATAAAGAATCTCTAGACCATTTGTTGTATAACTAAACAGGTGTACTACTTCCGCTGCTTTCCCTTGTACTTCAAGTTCTTTTCCCATTTTTGGCAGTACAGTATGGTATTAAAATACATCGTTTTTGATTAATGAGCTAATGGTTATTCCAGTTAAACATCCACATCACTCTTGCACTCAAGAAAATATCCCCTCTATCCATAGTTTATGTTCCTGCAAGTTATCAATTAAATTCTGTAGATGGTACACCCACACAAAACCTGGAGTCCTGCAGTGGGTTAAACGTTTTATTTGAAGGATTTTATTATAAGAACTTTATATATAGGAGGCAATTTTTAAATCACTTTCTTCATAATGTTTTATCTAACATGCTACAAAACCTGGAAAAAATCCTTTTTATTCCATTTTGAAAAATGCAGAATGGTTGGGATAAGAGATGGGTTTTTATCTGCGCAGTAAAACAAGACAAGCACTGTAGTTATACTTTCAGTATGATACATTGCTTTTCAACTGTAACCCATATCCTTACCTCCTCTATGTAGGCCTTTGGGAGGGGAACCCCTGCAGTAACAGTGGGACCTCCTCCATGCATCTTTAGGGCTCGAACAGTAGCCACAAGTACAACAGCATTAGGAACCAGACCAGAGTACCGACACTTAATATTGAAGAATTTCTCCATGCCAATGTCTGCTCCAAAACCTGCCTCAGTGACTAACATATAAAGTAAAAACACAAATAAAAGCAGAATGATAAAATGTAAAATTTGTTTTTGTTGTCCACAAAATATTCTTTAAAACCTTTCAATGAAATAAATTAACTAACTTCTCTCACAATTATGAAATAGCAATAAAATACCTCGCTGAACTTATTAAGTTTAATGAATAATTACACAAGCTCTTGTTGCTTACCCACAATGCCATCCTCTCCAACAAGTTTCAGACCAATCTTATCAGCCAGAATGGAGGAATTGCCATGGGCAATATTAGCGAAGGGTCCAGCATGCACGAAAACAGGTGTACCCTGAAAACAGATGTGGATTAGCCAGAATGAAATTTTTGTTCTGATTACTGTTTAATGTAAACTTTATTTCATCCCAAACAGAAATATAAACGCAACAAAGCAAGTATATTACTGTTTAAGCAATAATTGTATAGCAGCATGATTTTGTGCTGAAAGTATTGCACTAAAATATGGTTACGCCGGTTTCTGTGTGCTGTTTTATAGTGATTATTGTGCATGAGTGAATTCATCACTGTCCTAATTTGCCAAAAAGAGATAATGCACTAAAATTTGATTGTGCCTTATTAAGTAACTTTAGGGTATATAGAATATAAGTCGTTACAACAGTCTCTGCTGAAGCAACTAACTAACCATACTTATCATCTGATAAACTAATTGTTTAAAGCTGTAATCTACTTCCTTGTTACCAGGTACTAGACAACATGTGTCACAAACAACTAATAATCCATATTTTGATAAGCCTAGGCCTGCTGTATATTGCTACAAGAATGTTTCTAACATATGACGATGAAGGGCAATTAGAAACAGAAGAAAACTTCCACACATGTTCTTTACCTCTAGTGTCTGCATCAGGTTTGGTCGTACAGCATCCTTCATCAGTACAGCCAGGGCGCCACTAACACCCTGGAGCAACAAAGTATGTGGTGTTTAATAGTTAGTGATTGCCCTGTTTTGAGATAATGATTCTGAAATTCTTGACTCAGAAGCATTGTCAGCTAAGTAAAAAGATGAAACATATTCTCGAAAATGTAACAAAATTTTCCAAAATGTAACTTCATAGAAATGTACATTTATCCCTTTTACTTCAAAAGTTTTCTTATGAGTATGACAGTTAAGGTGGTCTTCCTTTGTTAATATTGTATGAACTAAATAGTAGAGTGATAATAGAACAGTTCAAGTTACTCTACTCTAATTTGGCTATATCACAATGTACATATTTCCTTCAGATTATCAAAAGAAAGAAATTTAAAAAAAAACAAAATGAGGAATATGGCAGATATGCCATAAATCAGTTGCAAAATAATTTTGAAAGACTTTTGAGGAAAAAACAAAGCCTCATAAAGAACTCTCAGATCAGGGGAGATAATTCAATGATGTACTGTTGAAATGCTGACAGGTTCCCAATAAGATATCAATGCCAGTCTATGTTGTCTACTCACCAGATCATCAGCTGTGACAGGGTTACCATCCAGGTCACTGGCCACGACCATGTGACCAAGTCTTTCTCTCATGTCAAGTAGACTTGTAGTCAGAGCTAGAATTGCCATGATTTCACTCGCCACCGCAATATCAAACTGACATTCTCGAGTGTGGCCCTTCTCGTTCGGACCTTGACCTACAGTGATCTTCCTTAAGAAACGGTCATTGGTATCCAGTACTGTCCATGAGAAAATGAAGTTTAATAATAAATCCTTTGTTATTTACAATTACATTAATGATACTGTAGCACTATTTGTTAAAATATTTTGAAAACAATATTTCAAATGAAAAATATTTGACATACACACATTAATATTTCAAAACTTGTTACCCTCCACCTAAAGGATTGGAGTTAATTTCACAATATGAATAGAAATGTTCAGAAATATTATGATCCCTACACTAGGCTAACCACTACAAAGTTTTCCAGATTTACAATTCAGAGACACTTAGACAAAACAAAATTCTAGGCATATTCCTTGTCTTACAGATCTGTCAGATAACTGTTTAAGAACTCATGATCCTTACCCAGTTCTGCATAAACAATTAACACATTGGGTATGTTGACCTATCACACCTGTTATGACTGCCTGTATCTAAGGGTAACAATACCTCGCTGCCAGGTGATGGTTGAGGGGTCGATGTTGAGGCGGGAAAACATGGTAATTTCCTCTGGAGTCAAGCTATCAGGGTCAGTCTTCTCTATTCCCAGCCTCTGTTATAATACATGACAGTTGTGAACTCCTCAATACTATTCAAGTTGGGAAATAAAAAATCTGAGACATATTAAACTTTATTTTACAGTGTGATAAAATTTCCACAATGAGAGGTGATATCGTGATATAAAACTTTAAGCACTGAGGGAGTACTAGTATGTTAGAGTTCATGTGCTGTGTTGACATGATTCATCATTGAGTAGTAAAGAGTTAACGATTAAGACTCACCTTGAGTCTGCCAATCTGGATTTTGGAGAAGGCACGTTTACCCTTGTTATCCGGAACAAGGCGCTTGTAAAGGGCGTCATCCTTTTGTGTGCTCTCGTGAAACATCCTGGCCTCAATCTGAGCAGCCAGCAGATTGTTTGCAGCAGTGATGGCATGGATGTCACCAGTCAAATGGAGGTTAAACTCCTCCATGGGAATCACCTGGGAATACCCCCCTCCAGCAGCTCCACCTGGTAACAAAGATCACTACCATTATATGATTCTGTAACTTCTGTATTTCACAGATCTATGCAGTATGTGTTAAATATGATCTGGGAAAGTTTAAGCCATTTTCAAAACAAGAGCCTGTATACTACAATTCTTACAAGAAGTTTTTTTTATAGGTGGTTGGAAGTCAACTTCACAAACTTGATAACAAGCAAGCTCCAGAAGTTTGTTGTATCTGTCTCTCTTAATTCACATGTCAACCAGAACATTTCATTCCTGAACATTTAGAAATAAATAAAATGACATCCTTTTCAATGGAAAGCCAGTGATGAACTTTAAAGTACACTTTCCTTTTAATGTTCGGAAAATTTACCTTTGATTCCAAAAGTTGGTCCCTGTGATGGTTGCCTGACACATGCGAACACGTTTTTCTTCAGCTGTGAGCCGATGGCTTGTGCCAGACCAATAGTGGTGGTGCTCTTACCCTCTCCTAGTGGTGTTGGTGTGATACTGGATAACAAAACTTAAAGACCTATAATCCCCTTCATTGATGTAGGGACTTCAGGGCGTATGCCATGATCGTTGTTATATCAAGTGTCGGATTTATTTTCGGTAAAATCATTTGCAATTATATGAATTGAAAAACCCTGGATGGCATTCATGTTGACTTGGTAACCAATGTCAAAGTCTTGAAGAAACAAAGTCTCTAATAGCTCATCATTTGTGAATTTAAAGTAATTTCTTGATCAGTGTTCATGTTTGCTATATAATGTATGCTTCCTTATGGTGATATTGATTTCAGATTGAATACACTTTACAAATCTGTGAAAGAGTTAAACAGGTCTTTGCTACTTAAATGAGTCAAAGGCTTATGAATGAATGCTGCCTTATTTTGGAACAGACTTAAGGATGCTTACTTCATTACTTTTGCACAGAATTAAGGATGTATGTTACATTGCTTTGGCACAGGCTTAAGGGTGTATGCTACCTTACTTTAGCACATAGACACCTACCCAGTAACTACAACATATCTGCCATCTTTCTTATCTTTGAGGCGATTGAGGACTTGTAATGACACTTTGGCTTTCTTCTTTCCGTACAGGTCCACTTCATCCGACAGTAGATTTATCTCCTTTGCAATTGTTTCAATGTTCTTTGGTGTTTGTGATTGAGCTACTTCAATGTCACTAAAATAGAAATGGTGTCATAGAATGGCATTTAAAATCATTTACAGCTATCATAATACAGTAATAGGTTTTTAAGGAAACAAAGAAGTAATATCGTCATGATTGTACAAAAAACACCCAAGTGAATAGCATTATTAAATACCTCATCAGATAAGATACAGTACAGCCAAACAATGAATTAAACCACATCATACAGCTGATTCATCCTTCTAAATCTCATCAGTGACGCTTAAGGGCCTAAATTCTCTTCAGAGTATAACACTTATGAGCAAAATTTCCATTAGCCTGGGGACTGGTCTCTTCAGAGTATAACATGAGCCTTACCTGGGGACTGGTCTCTTCAGAGTTTAACATGAGCCTTACCTGGGGACTGGTCTCTTCAGAGTTTAACATGAGTGTTACTTGGGGACTGGTCTCTTCAGAGTATAACATGAGCCTTACCTGGGGACTGGTCTCTTCAGAGTATAACATTAGCCTTACCTGGAGACTGGTCTCTTCAGAGTTTAACATGAGTGTTTACTGGGGACTGGTATCTTCAGAGTTTAACATGAGCCTTACCTGGAGACTGGTCTCTTCAGAGTTTAACATGAGCCTTACCTGGGGACTGGTCTCTTCAGAGTATAACATGAGCCTTACCTGGGGACTGGTCTCTTCAGAGTATAACATGAGCCTTACCTGGGGACTGGTCTCTTCAGAGTATAACATGAGCCTTACCTTCAGAGTATAACATGAGCCTTACCTGGGGACTAATCTCTTCAGAGTATAACATAAGCCTTACCTGGGGACTTTTCTCTTCAGAGTATAACATGAGCCTTACCTGGAGACTGGTCGCTTCAGAGTTTAACATGAGCCTTACCTGGGGACTGGTCTCTTCAGAGTATAACATGAGCCTTACCTGGGGACTGGTCTCTTCAGAGTTTAACATGAGCCTTACCTGGGGACTGGTCTCTTCAGAGTTTAACATGAGCCTTACCTGGGGACTGGTCTCTTCAGAGTATAACATGAGCCTTACCTGGGGACTGGTCTCTTCAGAGTATAACATGAGCCTTACCTGGGGACTGGTCTCTTCAGAGTATAACATGAGCCTTACCTGGGGACTGGTCTCTTCAGAGTATAACATGAGCCTTACCTGGGGACTGGTCTCTTCAGAGTTTAACATGAGCCTTACCTGGGGACTGGTCTCTTCAGAGTTTAACATGAGCCTTACCTGGGGACTGGTCTCTTCAGAGTATAACATGAGTGTTTACTGGGGACTGGTCTCTTCAGAGTTTAACATGAGCCTTACCTGGGGACTGGTCTCTTCAGAGTATAACATGAGCCTTACCTGGGGACTGGTCTCTTCAGAGTATAACATGAGCCTTACCTGGGGACTGGTCTCTTCAGAGTATAACATGAGCCTTACCTGGGGACTGGTCTCTTCAGAGTATAACATGAGCCTTACCTGGGGACTGGTCTCTTCTAACTTCAGAGTTCAGAGTAACATGAGCCTTACCTGGGGACTGGTCTCTTCAGAGATAACATGAGCCTTACCTGGGGACTGGTCTCTTCAGAGTATAACATGAGCCTTACCTGGGGACTGGTCTTCTTAACATGAGCCTTACCTGAGAGTTTAACATGGTGGGGACTGGTATCTTCAGAGTTTAACATGAGCCTTACCTGGGGACTGGTCTCTTCAGAGTTTAACATGAGCCTTACCTGGGGACTGGTCTCTTCAGAGTTTAACATGAGCCTTACCTGGGGACTGGTCTCTTCAGAGTATAACATGAGCCTTACCTGGGGACTGGTCTCTTCAGAGTATAACATGAGCCTTACCTGGGGACTGGTCTCTTCAGAGTATAACATGAGCCTTACCTGTGGACTGGTCTCTTCAGAGTTTAACATGAGCCTTACCTGGGGACTGGTCTCTTCAGAGTTTAACATGAGCCTTACCTGGGGACTGGTCTCTTCAGAGTATAACATGAGCCTTACCTGGGGACTGGTCTCTTCAGAGTATAACATGAGCCTTACCTGGGGACTGGTCTCTTCAGAGTATAACATGAGCCTTACCTGGGGACAGGTCTCTTCAGAGTATAACATGAGCCTTACCTGGGGACTGGTCTCTTCAGAGTATAACATGAGCCTTACCTGGGGACTGGTCTCTTTAGAATATAACATGAGCCTTAGCTGGGGACTGGTATCTTCAGAGTATAACATTAGCCTTACCTGGGGACAGGTCTCTTCAGAGTATAACATGAGCCTTACCTGGGGACTGGTCTCTTCAGAGTATAACATTAGCCTTACCTGGGGACTGGTCTCTTCAGAGTTTAACATGAGCCTTACCTGGGGACTGGTCTCTTCAGAGTATAACATGAGCCTTACCTGGGGACTGGTCTCTTCAGAGTATAACATGAGCCTTACCTGGGGACTGGTCTCTTCAGAGTATAACATTAGCCTTACCTGGGGACAGGTCTCTTCAGAGTATAACATGAGCCTTACCTGGGGACTGGTCTCTTCAGAGTATAACATGAGCCTTACCTGGGGACAGGTCTCTTCAGAGTATAACATGAGCCTTACCTGGGGACTGGTCTCTTCAGAGTATAACATGAGCCTTACCTGGGGACTGGTCTCTTCAGAGTATAACATTAGCCTTACCTGGGGACTTGTCTCTTCAGAGTATAACATGAGCCTTACCTGGAGACTGGTCGCTTCAGAGTTTAACATGAGCCTTACCTGGGGACCATTTCTCTTCAGAGTTTAACAGAGCCTTAATGGTAGACAGCAGGTTACTAATAAATATTGGACTGGTATAGAGTCTCACTGAGTATAACATAAGCCTTACCTGGGGACAGGTCTCTTCAGAGTATAACATAAGCCTTACCTGGGGACTGGTCTCTTCAGAGTATAACATTAGCCTTACCTGGGGACTGGTCTCTTCAGAGTAAGTGGATTTAGTGTCAGGGACCATTTACTGTAGTTCTACAATTTAAAGAAATGGTAGCAGCAGGTTACTAATAAATATTGTGAAATTATAAGATAGAGCATTTAGCATTTGGGAGCATGTATGAGAATGTTTGTTCATATGACAGGCAGACCCAGAGGACATATCATTTATAATCATTTCATCTTTTCACAATGTTCTCTTCTTGAGACAGACATATCTGAATGAGTCCTATAGTTTAAAATCAGCCTACAATATCAACTCACCCCAGCTTTTTCCCATGCCCTCCTGGCCTGGTCTACTGTATTCTTAAGTAACATTGCGACAGTCATGGGTCCCACTCCTCCAGGGACAGGTGTTATCCATCCTGCCACCTCCTTGGCTGCAGCGAAGTCAACATCACCGACGAGCCGTTTCCCTGACTTCTTGGTTTCATCTTCATAAGAATAAAGTGTAAGTGATTAAATTATGAATCTCACAATGTAATGTTGTGTCTGTAGTAAGTAACCTGAAAGTTTTATCAAGTTGTAACACTTTGCAATATTTTCATATATCCACAGAATTTCATTGATCTATGAACCCTCAGTGAGTCAGAGGTTATGGAACAGTTAATTTCGTATTTGTACAAACTTTCAAACTCTAGATTAACTGAAACACTCACCAGGAATGGAGTTTATACCACAATCTATGACTATAGCTCCAGGTTTTATCCAGTCACCTTTCACAAACTCGGTCTTTCCAACAGCAACCACCAAAATATCTGCAGACTTGACCTAATAAACCATAACCACAAATTACCTGAAGATTATTTTATAGGTCTTAACAAACAACTACAATTTCCACCATTAAAGTCTAAGTTTTTTAAACAACTCTTAGGTCCTAAAGCTCACAGGGATCTTCATTTTCATTATTATTGAACCTTAGAAGATTTTTAGTTCAAGACCCTTCAGAATTGCAAAAGGTTTTGATTCAAGACATTCTTGGAATTTGAAAGTAATTCAAACATCTTGAAATATGTAAATTCCAAGGCTTTATAATGACATTCAAGACACCTATTGGTCAATACAGGGACACTTGTCCGTTAGTAAGGGTCTGGAAAAGTCACATGTCCAAATGCTGCCCATCAATAGAATAGAACAGATGACATTAGGTTGATTAACAAGGAAGTCATTTTTGGCCTTCATCTCAATATGACTATAACAGGTTTACTCACAATACTTTCGAGGTTCTTTGTCCTTGTGTGGCACACTGTCACAGTGGCATGATTCCAGGTGAGGAGGTCCGACATGGGCGACCCAACAATCATACTCCGGCCGACGACTACAGCCGTTTTACCCTCGATACTTTGCCCTGGTGATAAAGTTGACAACAAGACATATAAAACTAGTGAACTCAAAGGTGTTTTATGTATGTGAGTGTTTGGATATTTTTGTGAACTGTAAACTTACATGATGTAGTATTCTGAACCTGAATGTTTAAAACTTGTTTTTGTGCCAAAATGTTTAACTTTTTAAATTAATGTTGTGAGAACACTGTAATTTGTATGAGTATGTAGCAGTTTCTGTGAGTACACTGCAGATTCATGAGTATGTTGCAGTTTTGTGAGTATATTGAAGATTTCATGGTTAGTTGCATATTTGTGAGTACATTGCAGTTTTGTGAGTAAGTTGAAGTTTTTGTAAGTACTTTGGAGTTTTTATGAGTATGTTGCATATTTTTTGTGGAAGTTGCAGTTTTTGTGTTTCTTAGTAGTTTGTGTACCTGAACGTTTGATCAATTCCAGGCATCCTCGCGGTGTACATGGTAGCACACAAGCATCGAGGTTACCGCGGGCCAGTTTCCCGGCATTTGACTGGTGCAACCTTATAGAAATAAAGCACATGTAAACTTTCACTAACCTGAAAAGGCAAACTTGCTGATCACATATTACCATGTGAGAATAATAATCAACTATAAAAAGTTTTTTTTAATTTGAATTATAGAATTTGTAAAACTAATTTATGTCAAATCCTACTAAATGTTATCCAAGATTTCCCCACTGTTAAAGAGTATCTACACAGGACATACCCATCGACATCCTTGCTCTCCAGTATAGAGTTGGTCACCAAATGAGAATCGACGGCATTCTCTGTGTCAAGTGGCAACTGCAAAATAGAATATCTTTATCAATACTGGTACATTGCAGTATGAATTACAGGTATATCAAATCTCAGGTTTAAATTTATTTTTTGTTTACATATCACTAACTGTTGTTAAGAAAGTAAAGTTTCTAGTAAATGTTTTGCCTTGATAAACATGTATTATTAATAATATAACTACATTAAACTTTGTATATGGGTTACAACTGATTACAGCAAAGTGGATTTACACTTGATTACAGCAATGTGTGTTTACTCTTGAATACAGCAAAGTGTGTTTAATCTTGAATACAGCAATGTGTGTTTACACTTGAATACAGCAAAGTGTATTTACTCTTGAATACAGCAAAGTGTGTTTACACTTGAATACAGCAAAGTGTGTTTACTCTTGAATACAACAATGTGTGTTTACACTTGAATACAGCAAAGTGTGTTTAATCTTGAATACAGCAAAGTGTGTTTAATCTTGAATACAGCAATGTGTGTTTACACTTGAATACAGCAAAGTGTATTTACTCTTGAATACAACAAAGTGTATTTACACTTGAATACAGCAAAGTGGATTTACACTTGATTACAGTGATGTGTGTTTACATTTGAATAGAGCAAAGTGTGTTTACTCTTGAATACATCAATGTGTGTTTACACTTGAGTACAGAAATATGGCTTACAACTGATTATTGCAATGTGTGTTTACACATGAATACAGCAAAGCAGATTTACACTTGATTACAGCCATGTGTGTTTAGAATGTTTACCCGAATGTGACGTTACTATCAATTACAGCTTCATTTTTGTATACAAAAAAAAATGCTATTTAATAATAATGTACCTGTAAGTTTACAAATGATTGCAGCAATGTGGGTTTACAAACTAATACAGCAATGTGAGTTTACAAACTAATACAGCAATGTGGGTTTACAAACTAATACAGCAATGTGGGTTTACAAACTAATAAAGCAATGTGGGTTTACAATTGATTACAGGAATGCTGTTTTATTTCTGAATATAGCATTGCTATTTTAGACTTATGTACCGGTGTGTATACAACTGATTACAGAGGTGTGATTACGTGTGTTTATCTAGTGACATATAATGTAGCACTGCAGCATTGTCAACAATATAAATTCAGGTACCTGAGCTAACAGCGACCAGGAAAATTGTACATATTGGCATAAGTTCAAATGTTATCAAGCTTAATCATTGCACAACAGTTTTCTATTGAAGTTGGATTTCCAATGAAATCTTTATTTAACTGACAGATGAAAGATTCGTGGAATCACTATTTAGGATTTTTAAAACTGTTGAGTCTCGTATAAACACACTGAGGTTATTTAGGGATAGTGCCGTCTTAAATATGACTGATTTAAAGGCAATTTAAGTTTGCAGTATCAGAAAATCTAAAATTTTTAACACTTCTGCACTACGTAAAATTTTATGGTAACAGAACTGTGGGCTGGATAGAGAAACAGCTAGTGTACTTTCTGACTGATATCAAACAACCCCCTCATCCTGTTACTTACCTGAACGATGATGCCATGGATTGCTGGATCATTGTTGAGTTTTTCCACTGCCTGTAACACCTGAAAAATGGAGGCATCAAACAGTCAGTGAAACAATCACGTAAAGATATAAACAAAAATCTGTAGTGAATGCTACAGAAATTAACAACATGTAATGCCAGTATTTACCATCTGTGAAGTCAATCTTACAAACATTTTTGGTGATCATCAGAAAATGTCAGTATTGTTTAAGGAATACATGTTACAGTAATAACATAACACCCAAATGTTTCTATAACTTTTGATTCAGTTACCAACTACGACTGATAATTAAACAACTTATCTACTATTTGTCTGTTAATAACACTGAAAGACGCATAGACTTTGTGTTATATTAATTTTAGAAAATGTGTCTTCTGGTCATAAGATACCTGGTGTAGTGGTCATTCCTGATAGGGGGTGAGATGTGGGGGGTTGAGATGTGGGTTGGGAGGGGGAGGGTGTTGCAATGAGAAGAAAAAAATAATAAAAAATAAAAACCCTGTTAAAATAAAATCTGACATATAAAAGATCAAACATGCCAGAGATCAAGTTCTGTAGCTGCTGGAATCCTTTCCACAAAATATCAACCACGAATGAGAATAACAAAATTCAAGATGTCCACAAATCTTTATATATATGAAATAAATTTTATTTGTATACTGATGAAAAAAACATTCTAAATCAAATTTTTTTTTATTAACTTCAACAAATATCTTTAACAGAATATGTTTGAAAGTCAGAGTATAATAGACTGTACATATATTTCATCCTTTTAATTCCATAATTTAACATGAAACATGTTTGTTCTTGTTACATGTATCACTACCTTGTATAGAGAAAGGTATTGTTGACACCACCAACAATGTAGCACAACAAATCACACTTGTCAAACAGGCAACAAACTTTAAGCTTATCAATTAAAAAAATAGTTAGCTGTCTTAGAAGCTTTAATACAGACAATTAGAAAGACAAAGATAAATCTAAAATTTAAACTGGTAAAACGAAAAAAATATTTGACTGAAAAACAATTTTATAAACTTCAGTGAATATCATCTTTAACAGAATATGTTTGAAAGTCAGAGTATAATAGCCTGTGCTTACATTTAAACACTTTAACTAATAATGTTGATGTATTTCTGTTCCTGTTTGACTTATCCCTACTTTACATACAGAAAGGTATTGTTGACATCGCTAAGAATGAAGCACAACAAATCACACTTGTCAAACAGACAACAAACTGTTCCTTAAGTTTATCAATAAAAATAGCTGTTATAAACGTTTTAATGCACACAATTAAAAAGGCAAAAGTAAATCTAAAATTTAAACTGATAAAACAAAAACATTTACACTTAAAAACAATTATATAAACTTGTAAGTGAAAAACAGTGATAACACATAATCATGTCTCAACATTTGTCACCATAAAACAAACATTTTGGAAAGACACAGCATAAACCAATGGAAGGAATTAAACGAAGATTTTTTTTTATTACTGTAAAGTTAATAAAATTAATTACCAGTATATATTTTCTGAATCCTTAAATACTCAAGTAGTATACTTCTAAACATGTTATATTTTGTAAACTGATGATTTCATTATAAAAAAAAAAAATATGTTGACCTGTACCTTAGTCAGGATTTATGACAAATGATTAATGTATAATGCTAATTCTAAGACAATGCTCTCTTTCCTTGTCCTAGACACGAACGTATATCTCACATACAAGGTAAGTTTCAGCTGTGAATATATTCAGCTACAAGTACAAGCAGCTCAGCTGTCAGATTAATGATGCTATTTGTCATTTCTAAAAAAAAAAAAAATGCACATACCATGTATGGGTCTTTCATCAGATACATTATGTAAACCTACTGGCTGGTTTCTAACTCTTAAAAGTTGTTAGGTCTCAAGACAAATTCTGGAAGGTCGATGTGTCCTAATTAGCATATTTATGATAATAAAATTAATCATTGCACAGGAACTGTAGAATAAATTATATTTACTACCTTATCTCTGTGTCCTTTGACACCATTCTGACAATTACAACAAGAGGCCCAGATGGCCTGTATTACTCACCTGAATCTTTATGACCAACATTACTATATCTGTGCATATGTTCCACGTTTAACACATTTGACCCCTGTGACCTTCACTATGGGTCAAGGTCATTTCTTTTACTTTCTTGGACTTCATAATAGGAACATACTGGCCAAATAAAATGATTCTTGGCTTTTTGATATTTCAGTAGAAATTGTTTAAATGTTTTAACACATTTGACTCCCGTGACCTTGAAGATTGGTCAAGGTAATTTTTTTAGCAAACTTTGTAGGACACCATAAGAGGAACCTAGTAGTCTAATATAATGATTCTAGGCCTTCCGGTATTTTGAAAGAAGACTTTCAGAAACTTTACACAAGTCTCTTGTCTAACTACTATTTAAATACTGAAATAAGTCCATGGCACTGAAAGGGTAGAAGCTGGCTTATTTCTAGACAAGAGTAGTTTGTGAGTGGAAGTTGTCTGGAGGTGCTGAATTACGCGACCTTGACGTTTCACATCTTAAGAAAAGCCAGGGGGAGCTGGATTAAATGTCCTTGACCTTTTTCACCTTGAGCTGAAGTCAGGGAGAGCTGGATTATATGACCTCGACCTTTCTTATCTTGAGCAGAAGTCTGGGAGAGCCATATTATATGACCTTGATCTTCTCATCTCAAGTGAAAGTACTTGAAGATGAATGATAGCATTTTTGAGTAGAAGTCTGAAGGAGCTGAAATAATGACCTTGAAATACCACATCTTGAGCTGCAGTCTGGAAGAGTTGAATTATAGAAATCTTGACCTACTTAATCTTCAGTTGTATTCTAGGGGAACTGAATGATAGTAGCCTTGACCTTCCTTATCTTGAATGAATTGAATGAAAGTCTATGGTAGCTGTACATGTGTGGCCTAGCTGGCATGCCTTTTAAAGGGGCTCAATGGGTCAGAATAGTGGCCCCATTCCAAACTTTATTTATATCATAAGGCAAATTTCCAAAAATATACAGTTTACACCAAAACATTACCTTCTCAATTATCATTTTTATTCCTAAAATGATATAAAAATGCCCAATCCAGATGAATGGGGGGAAAATCCTGCCTCTGCCCTCCAGAACCTAGCTGGAAATCTTTGGAAACTGGATATGCATGACCTTGAACTTGAACTTGCTTGTTTCTGAGTGGATGTCCTTGGTAGCTGGACATGTGTGACCTTGACTTTCCTGTTCCTGGGTAGAAGTCTTTAGTAGCTGGACAAATGTTACCTTGACTTCCCTGTTCCTGGGTAGAAGTCCTTTTAGATGGACAAATGTGACCTTGACTTACCTGTTCCTGGGTAGATGTCCTTTTAGCTGGACATATGAGACTGACTTACCTGTTCCTGGGTAGAAGTCCTTTTAGATGGACATATGTGACCTTGACCTACCTGTTCCTGGGTAGAAGTCCTTGGTAGCTGGACATATGTGACCTTGACCTACCTGTTCCTGGGTAGAAGTCCTTGGTAGCTGGACATGTGTGGCCTTGACACCTACACTTGCAGCATTCTTCACTTTCTGATTAATGTACACTGTAGAGTCTTCTCTTCCTCCAACCTGCAGTACAGAAAAACAACATTATACCAAAACTGACACAAAACTTTGTTCTGGAATTCAAAATAGATGAATCTGAAAGTAAGTTATAACAAATCTACCAAGTTAAATAAAGACAAAGAAGCCTCATTTTGGGATAAGAATCACACGTTGGATCATATTATCTTAAACTCATAATAAGATTGATGATTTATTTTAAACTTAAATAAATTTCAAGGTAAAAAACATGTTAAATATTGTAAATCTGCTCTGCTCTTTGTAAGACCTGATATGTCTAGACTAAAATTACATAATCCTATTCAACAAACAAAAAGCTAAATATAACTTTTCAATGTCCTAAGTAAAAGTTACATTTCTGATTCAGCATTCTATCCATTTAATCAGCTACATTGAAGATCAAAATCATTAAATCAACAAATCTGATTTCCTTCCCCACCAGATGAGACCTGAGGTCAGAGTGATTAAACATACTGGTATATAAATAATGAATTTTTCTAACATCCTAGAAATGTTTCCCTTGATTTTGGTTAATTTAATTGATTACCTGAACTATGGCTAGACCAGGATGGAATCCAGAATATTTCTGTTGTAGCTCCTCAATCTCTTTCTTGAGTTCATTTCTTATCTCTCTGTCAATCAAAAACAAAACACCATCACAGCTGTGACCATACTTCATGGACCACTTCTTACTTAAGTGAATGTTCTAGGGACAGATATACAATTGTACACATATTAAGCTCCACACATTATTTATTTCACCAAAATAATGAAATCAGGCAAGAGACTAAGAAAACAAGTATTCCATAAAAACAAAAATTGGTAGTAAATGTCTGTTCTACTCTACAAACACAGATCTAGAGATATAAAAGAACTGATCCAGTTTTCAGAGAGATATACATATATCATAAAGCATTATCAATATTGTAAAGATTTTAAAAGATTCAGTGATTCATGATTATTCAATGCCAGGGCTCTCGATCTGCCAGATTTGGGGCCGCATATCCCAATGCAAAATAGTATCTTTTTTCCCCAATTTAGACCCCAAGTTTTCCCAATTCTAAGGAAAACACCATTATTTTTCCCAATTCTAAGGGCCCCGGGCCCCGGTCCCAAAATGGGGTGTGAGAGTCCTGAATGCCAATAGTAAAGCATTCATACTACAGAGTGCATTAATATATAGATAGAACTGCTTCTTGGTCATTAGACCAGTTGTCTAAATACTGAGATTTTGTTCTGTTCTGTTGTTGTTTTAAATCATGGCATCACAAAGCATGACAATATCCCAATACACTTATATGGTTCAGCTAAATCCAACTGTTGGAGCCTGAGAAGCAATTAAAAATATGTGTTGTTCAGGGAAACTGTGATTGTGCAATCTTGTTACAAATAGCTGCCACTTCCTAATTGGCTTCCTTTCCTTAAAATTCCTATCAATTTTCAGCTCAATGCCACCAGTGGCCCTACTGAAGAAGTTTAAAATGTATTTTTTTTTTTCAAAATGGCAGCCTTGGTGGCCATAATGGATTTCAGACTGACCGAAAAATTTCTTGGTCAGCATCACTTCAGGATCACTTCAGGCAAGTTTCAGTTGAATCCCAGTGTTGGAACTTCAGCAGAAATTTAAAACATTAAAAGCTTATGCATGATACAGGACAATGGACGAAAAGATCTAGAATGGATATAAGACATCCAGATCTTGACACTTTGCACCAGATAATCTAAAACTATCAGATAGCTGCCTGTGCCATTTCCCCCCAAAATAAGTCAATTTTTTTCTTACACAAGAAATGACCCTTACCTTGACCATACAACAAAGGACACTTTCTAGGTTAGGAAAATTATTGTCTGTTCAGTTATGCAACATCCTATTTAAAACTATATTCATGAAAATATGACCTCACACTAAATTCCAGTCAAAACCTATCTTGACCACATACAAAATATCACTTCATGTTACTGTTATATACCCTTTGAAGATTAATTAAGTTACCAGAACATGAAGTGAGTTTTACAAGACTTATTAGCTAAAAATCAAAAACAAAACAAAACTACTCTTCCAAACATTGTGGAATAATAATTCATAATTCATTAACTGATGCCATGCTGTTCAAGAAATAACAACTTTATGTCTTTGTAATGAAGCCTTCATCATTTCAAAAAGATCAGTAAGAAACAGAGAGGGAAGATATTTCTGTGGATATGATTAAAATGCTAAATGAAAACAAAGGGCAATAACTCTTCAAAAAATTATAGAATCAAAATGCTGCTTCAAGAAACTACATATACACACAATAAAGTTTGTGAGAGGTCAGCTGAAAATTGAGATAAATATCTACACAAGATAAAAATAGTTTTTCTAGGATGACAAATTTTCTGACGTTCGTAAAAAACAAATGACAGAAGACAAATTTGTACCAAATATCCTCCAAACTTTGTATTGCACAAAAATTGCAATGGTGGTCAGGACAAATCTGAGGTCAAGGATCACAACTTTCATATGTAATTTTTTTTACTTCAACAAAAACCTTGTTGGGAGGTTTTATTTTTTCAATTGTTATCAAACTTTTCTTGTTTTGGCCACGAGGGTGATTTGATAAGAATGATTGAAAAAAGAAAAGAAAAAAAAACAATTAGAAGCACATGTATTAAATTAAAACTATTGGAATGTAAATTTAGAGTATCCATGTGTTTTGAAGTAATATACATAGATATATATATATATGACCTTGTCCTATAATTTTTCATATTGCACAGGTGATCTTTATCCTAAATTGCATAATATGCATGTTTACTTCTTTGGCTTTCTCTACAGAAAATTTTGGAAATTATGACCCAATTCTATTTATATTAGATATGAAAGAAAATTCTTGCGCTGGGCTGACTTACTAAAGCCAGGTCGGTTGGCCACGGTAGATAAAACACATCGACCGTCCAACAACCAATAGATATATATTTACACAAGCTCTCATCACTGCTCAGTGAAAATCCCCTGTATTTATCTGTAACCTTTCCATGCTGCATTCAGATAAGTCAAATTTTTAAGTAACTCAGAATAACAACTACAAAAATTGTCATGCATAGTTCTTCAGATTTGCCAATAATATAAAAGATGACAACTTACTCGGATACAACCTTTCCACTAAGAATTTCTGCCATCACTGCCTGATTTAAGCTGAGCAGGACGTTCTACCTCTTACACAGGTGGTGTGCTCTGATCGACGGGAGCTTGAACTTTGACACACGTGATGAAAATCTGTTAAAGGGGAATAACTCCTTTGAGTATTGAAAAAATGCAGGAACGAGTATGTCATCACGACGATATATTGACAGGGGCTCAGGAGTTATCGGTTGATCATAAATTATATGAGCATTTACATTAAATGATACACCAATGGAATTTCAAATACTGAACAATGTATTTCTTTTTCATTTGTACCCAATGCTCAGTTGACAAGGTAATTTTTAGTTTCGGATTTTGAGTAAATGTTTCTTGTTTACAGTAATAGAATAACTTATGTCACCAGAAAAAAATAAGCAAAAGTTAAAGGTTTCGAACAGAAATATAACAATAACCTAACTACTATTTGTGATTTAATTTTTAAATAGTTACGAAACAGTGTCTTCTTTAAAGTCAAACATGGCGAAGGTAAGCCGGCAAAATCTCTAGGCTTGCGATAATCTATACTGACCATACGTTTTCTGTCAGATCACCCCACACCTGTCAATGCCAACAATATGGAAATATATGTACATATCTACTTACTCTATAGAATAGGCTGAATCTATTCAATATCGCGTAAAATGTCGAGAACAGCCCGACACTGGTCATCTGATGATCAAAATCGATAGTTTTGAAGAGTCTAGCACGTCAAGTGTCTAAGACTAATCTGTACACCAACATGATGTGAGTTGGATTGTGTATATTATATATAAAGATAACTTGTTATATTATATATATAACACATAACTCGTTATTATATATATATATAACTGATAACTCGTTGTAGGGACCTCCAAGCGATGCCATTTTCAGGTTATGATCAATATGGTCATAAATACCCCCTCTTATTTATCCTGCAACTGGCAGTGCCATTGTCACAATACGCTTGCCATATATATTTTTATTTTTGCTATATTCATAATATATAGACATAAAACATCTTTTTTTTTTGCACGTGCATGAATTCGGTGGAATTTATTTCTGAATTCACTTAAAAACTATGATAAATAATTGTTGAAATAAGTTATTTTATACGTTGTAACAAACAAATTTATTTATGAAAATTCATAAAATCGCTGTCGCATACGTTAAGTTTGTAACTATATTACTGCACGGAACAATTATTTTGGCGTAAATCATCAGGCAAAATTCATTGTATTTACTTTAATGATAAACAGAAATGATGTTCATTTCCTAAACTTTAACTGATTACTTTTATATCAATTGTAACAACCTTTACATGCTTTTTATTGGTTCACAGCCAGTGCTATATACCTATTTTCGGAGTTCATGTTCATGGAGGGTGAGAATTGGTATGTTGAAATTTACTGTGTCAGTTCAATGTACATGTCCTAATTTGATAAAATTGTTAAACTGGTACACCAGGAAAGATATGTTATCAAGGTTAATTTCCAGTTACGATTTTCCATTTTATTATTCTATATAAATATAAAATAGCATAAGAATATTGCAACTATCATAAGCTATCACAACTTAAAGGTATTAAATAACAATATCTAAACCAAATAAAGACTTACAAGTCTATGGAAAAATGCATTTTATATCACTTAAGAACTTAAAAGATTTCACAAATATTTTTCATCAATTAAAAAAAAATACATGTTTGGTGTATATGTTTACATGTATGCTTACTTTTGATACCTAATTATATGATGTACATTTTAGCATTAGCCTGGAAAGGTATTGAATACGAGTCCAAATATGTTAATTTGGTGAAGGATGGAGGACAGCAGGTGAGACATTTATGTAGTTTCTTAAAAGCCTCTGATCTGGGTGTAGATTATTTGGTTGGTGGGAGAGGGGGAGTAATACAATTGATGGAGGGTGGTTTTGTTTTGAAGAATGTTTATAAATAATTGACAGTAAGATCAATAAGTTAGTGAGAAGAGTAATATAATTTTTCGACAACTCTTGTCTTGAAGTACTTGTGGAAATGTTTTATAAGTAAAGAAACTACAGAGCAAACCTTACAGAAGTACAAATTACCAGTATAAGTAGTTTTATGTCTATAAATCTTCTGTTACAGAGACAAGAGGAATATGCTGCTATTAACCCAATGAAACAAGTTCCTGCACTTGTAATGAATGGCAGTACAATGACACAATCTGTAAGTTTTCTGCGTGGCATAGTGCAATTTCCTCAAACTGATCCTTTTGCATGGTCGCTTTGAAGAAGTTCCACTGTATATCATTTCATGGTGAAAAAACTAGACTGTGGTTTGGTAGAAATTATATATTGATTGTTAAAAGTGTATAATTCAATTACCTGTATACTATATTCATTTAGGAATTAAATGTTCTTTGTTGAAAATGTATACCCATTACTTGGAGACCTATTTATAAAACATACAATATGGTGCAACAGTTTATAGATTTAAAGCTGTTTTTCCTTTTCTGCTCAACTTATTTCAAAATAGCTATATGTTGTGCTTCAGTCATAAACATAATTCTCTTCAGACAAATTCTTTACCAACAATGGAGTTACTTTCGGATGTTTCTTTTTATCAATAAAGGTAGCCATGCTGGAATACTTAGAAGAAGTCCATCCAGAAAAGCCGCTACTACCCAAAGATCCTCTAGACAAAGTCAAAGTATGTTTGCATTCTGAAATATCAATGTATTATGTGATTGGTATTTTGTTTCAAAATTGTTTTCTGTAGAGTGCTGTCCTTTTGTGAAATATATACATAAGTTCTGGGTAAAACTGGTGAATATACAATCCGATAGGTTTAATTATTTGTTTGGAATTTAAAAAAAATCTGAAATCAGACCATTTGATAGCTGTTATTGGCAGAAAATCGGAAAATTACACAGTTGATTGTGGCATACAAATTTTCACCCCCTGAAAAAAGAAATGGTTGATTTAAAAAAATCTCTATATTTAAATTATTTCATTCAAAGTGTCATATTTTAAAAATATTTAAGTAGCTTTATGTAAAAAAAATTGAGATTTATTAGAGATTTTTTGTTCTCGAGATATTAATTATTTCTTACATTCCTGGTACGATTATCGGGGCCAGGGCAGGGGCTGGGAACAGTGTACACAAATTCACTCGTACTTTATGGTTTCCTAAATTATCTTCATCATAACATGTAATCAGCACTGTCAGTAGTTTTCTGCTTGCAATCAATAAATCATTAAGGATATTATTTCAAGTATGGTGATCCATGTAGAGGTTTGTCCCTTGGTTCAGGGATTTCCATTTAGAAACTTTGTCTAAAGACGTGTTGGAATATCATAGCATATATACTGGTAAGTGTTATGTCTGTAAACTTCAACGTTTGACGGCACTCTCAAAGATTATTTGAAATCTTATGATATTTTCATGTTTCATCTTAAAGTGTATTGGATCATTTCCTGATGACTTTGGTTTTGAAGTAAAATTGTTCTTTTTCCACAATCATAATTGATTTTTGTAACATGAAGTGTAAACATTAGATACACAATTGTGTTGAAGTTGTAGTAATATCAGTTTTAAGATAGATGATGCTTGTAAACTTTATACAATGAAAAGACATTCTCATATACTTTCAAGGGAAGTAATTCCAGCCGCAAATAACTATATAACTGTATTAAAATGTACACAAAAACATAAAAAGTTCAATCTTTTCTTTTCAAGGTGCGAGAGATTGTGTCAGTGATCTCTGGAGGAATCCAGCCTCTTCAGAATCTGAGTGTGTTACAAAAAATTGGGGATGATGGTAAAATGGAATGGGGCAAGTTCTGGATAGACAAGGGATTTGTAGGTTAGTGGAATTTTTGTTTATGGTTAATTGAAGCCCAAAGAAATGCATTTTGATTTTCCTTGATCGCAGTTTTACTATATAAAGGTTACGGTTATCAAGTGATATCTTTGGACTAATTGGGTATGTAGAGTAGCAAATAAAAATTTTTAATTAATAGTTAGGGAGACATCTTCAAAAATAAAAATGATTAATAGATGTATTAAGATTATAATCTACTCTTTGTTTTTTTATCTTGTTTTGATCTTATTTTCAGCTCTGGAACAGATCTTGAAACGCACTGCTGGAAAGTACTGTGTAGGAGATAGTGTAACTATGGCCGACGCCTGCCTTGTTCCTCAGGTGTACAATGCCAACAGGTAAAAGGGAAACTTGTAATGGGGTACAATTTTATGGAAAACATTAACGCTACTATATAGTACAGTTTTGGACTAAATCACATGAATATGACATATTGTAAAGTTGTATATTTTAGTCCGTTTATCAAGAATTTTGATTTCGTGGTCATTTGATTGTATGGATAAGTATCGCTCAGTACTTACATTTGAACAGTTCGTTAACATATGAATTCATGGTTAAAGATCACCCCTGAAATCAATGAAAATAAATCCTCCATAAAATGAATGGCTTCACAGTAATTTATAATAATCAACCGCTCCAGCATGCATCTTCTTGAGTTGGATGGGGATTAAACTTGAGTTTGGAAACTGATATGTTACCAAATTTTTAAGCAAAATATTTTATAGAAAAAGTTATATAAGAGACTATTTTTATTTAACATGTGAAGACTTTTTTTGACCAGAAACAGAAAAAGTATTTTGTCTGAAGACAATTTTTATGTTTTACAGATTCAAAGTGGATATGGATCAGTTTCCTACCATCTCTCGTATAAATAATGCTCTTCTCCAATTAGATGCCTTCCAAGAATCTCATCCATCTAAAATGGATGACTGCCCAGAGAACCTGCGCAGCTGATGTTATAGAAAAATCAAGAATGCGAGAGATTCACATAAGAAACAATGAATTAGGGATTTATTTGGTTTTAGAAAATTGAATGATACAACTTTGTCAAATTAGTATTATGGATCTTGGAAAAAGTTTGTAGGAAAATTTACCAGATATATTTTACTAATATGAAGGCTGTTTCTATAAGAATTTGGAAAGTAAGTATAAGTATTTTAACTTTAAAAGAAATAGTTGCTAGTTTCTGTCACTGAGCTGATAATTTGTTTCACATTTGTGTTCTGTGATCATTGCATCCATCAAACCATGGATGACTTGCCAAAGTCATGTTTTTTTCTCTCATTCATAATTATACAGACTTTAGTTTATTGGAAAGTATGGAAAATACAAAGGCATTTTCAAGATACACTAAACATATCACTTATATCTTAGAAGTAAGATATTAATAAAAAAAAAAATATGCAGAGAAAGAATGAACTTTTAACGAAGATATTGATGTATTTTACTTTGATATGTTACTTCTTAAATTAGGCAAGGTATTAATGGAGAATTCAGAAAATTATTTTGTTAGCTAACCTTCCAGATGGGCAAGTGAGTTGAAGCTGTGTTGTATCCTCCATCATGTGTCCAGCATCATCTTTTCCAGTTGAGCAAGATCGTCTCAATAAGCATGAGTCAGGATATTTGGCTAGAAGGTTCCTTGGATGAATCTAACTAAGTTTATGAAAAGAAATGTTTTTCACTTATCATGCTCTTCAAGGTTTTAGAGTTCACCTTTATGAAAACTTTTTACAATCTTCAGATCGACCAAACTACCTCAAATTATGGTATTTGGCTCTTAGGTCGCTGGGATGAAGCCTCACAAAGTTTGTGAAAATAAGTAATCATGAGGCAACATTTAAAGCGACTGGATTCACATTTTATGAAACTTTCAGTCTTCTATTGATGGAACAAAAGAACTTGTGTAATTGTATGGAACTAGTATGTTCCTGAGAAGTAGCCCAACCAAATTGTGGAAAGAAAATACCTTGGCAAATATTCAAGGTAAAAAATGTCCACAAATCTTCAAATATCTCCTTGTGATTAACCAGAGGATATAGAAACCTGATATTTAGCTGGGCTGATAGGTTCGGTGGATGAAACCAAATAGAGCTTGTGAAAATAAATGACCTTGCTTTATATTCAAGATTACTGGGGTCACAATTGTTAAAGCTGTGAAAATTATGATTAACCAGGCCTTTGAGTGTCACTGTTGATGAGGCAATGGCAGCCCATTGGGGCTTTTGTTACAATTTATGAAAAAATTGTCTGTAGTGACAAATTTGTTTGACAACTGTTTAATTGTTTGGATCAAAGTGTAGTTTGTGTTCAAAATTATCACTTTATTATACATGAGATTATTATCCTTATACGTATATATGAGAAAGTTAATATCTGATTTACACCAGTAGTAACTTTTAGCATTGAATGCACACACTATAAAGCTAACTACAGACTTCTCCGTCAAATTGTTTTAAACATGATCCTATATCAAGGTGGAACCTAGTTTTAAACATGATCCTATATCAAGGTGGAACCTAGTTTTAAAATGATCCTATATTAAGGTGGAACCTAGTTTTAAAATGATCCTATATTAAGGCAGAGACTTATATTTAGGATGATTCAGTCATTTCAAAATACAGTTAACATGTATGGTTATACTTGTATATATCTTTAGTTTACTTTGTACAAATAAGAAGGCAGCTTTACATGATTACAAACTCATTTATTCCTGATATGTTTTGACTTCAGATTCATTTTGGTGTCAGCATATATGTACATTCCTGTCATGTGGGTGATGTTGATAACTTTATAGATCTGACACATCAATATTTCACCATCTAGGTGTTCAATCAAGAATATAAATGTACTTGTTTGTCTCAATCTGGTAAGTGTACCAGTAAAATCTTTGAGCAATACACCAATGTTTAAAATGCAAACTATTACAGAACCTGTGTTTTAAGTAAAAATTTACATGTATATTGATCTTATCAGCTGAAATTGGTATGAACTTTGACACATGAAATGGCATTCATATTGTTATGAATAGCATTTCTTTGTTCAGAGTACATAGGTCTGATTATTTCTACAGTAAAGGAAACGTTTCTTGAGATATTGTCATTCAAAGGTATGAACATATTTTAATTTCAATGAGATATTTTGAAAATAATGAAGAAAGTTTGAAGTTTTATTAAATGAAACACTTTACAAATTTGACCTATTGTCTGTTTTTAATTGTTTAAATTTGCTGTAAAGCCAAAATCTTCATTCAGCATATTTCATGCTGAAAATATTTATCTGAAATATAATTGCAGTTTGCCTATGCAAATGTTACAAATGTGTGAATTCATAATTGCTCTTATTTATGGAAAGCTGAAATTGTGCGAAAATCTGATTGCACCAAATTACATGGCCTGAGGGGCGGTGATTAAATTGACTCAGATTTCAAAATCTTCTCAACCCGAGGGGAGGGGATTAATTTTAATATCGATTATATAGGAAAACCAGATTTTTATTATTGTTGGAAATATTTCAAACTTGGTTAGAATTATGAGTGAAGGATAACAGCTTGATGGTATGCTCATATTGATCCTTGCTGACCTCTAGGAGCTGAAATGCTAAATGCTAAAAAGGGGTTAAAATTTCAAAAATCTTCTCAACACCCAGTAATGGAAGAATCAAATACTCTGTATAAATGGAAGCGTCTTAAGGTGCTTCAATTACCAAAATGGGCCTCACATTTCTTCTTCGGGAGGATGTTTTTTCAAACTTAACTGTAATTTTCATAGAAAAAATGCATTTTTGAGCATAACATTGGTTATTTCCAACTACAATTTTGTAACTTTGCAAGAATTATCAGTATAGGATGACAGTTTTGATGGTATGAATGTATCGACATTGGCTTACAATATTCAGAGTTACAATTTCTGTTGCATGACACTGGATAACTACTGTTTAAACTTTATATTAAACATTGCTTATCGCAGGTGACCGTCAAGGCAGCTAGGCCTCTTGTTATAAACAGAAATAATCATGGACAAAGTTGACTTTCTGATTTGTTCCTTTCGTACCTAGTCATGCGTTCAGCTTTTCCATTTGATAATCATTCTCTGAGCCTTATTTTCTTGTTCTTTAGTTCCTTCTTGAATTGCCTCCCATTGCAAGAACTCTGAGCTTGCTCCATACCAGACGTATACGTACAATGTATACAAGCACAAGTCTTTCTCTTTGAGTTGGGTGGCGCAGTAGTAACGCACTCGCCTCTCACTTAGCCATCTGGGGTTCGACACCCAGAATGGATGTGAAAAGGCATGGGGTCACCTGCCCAACTCCGGCACTTCCATCTGAGCCAACAAGAGTGATTAATATAAGTTGGAAAAACTTGCTTCGCAATTGTTGGAAAAAAAAGTTTATTATTTTTCTCTTCCACCGTTGCCAGAAGCCTGTTTGGTTGTGGACTAGGATTTTTTTGTTTCTTGCAAACACTACACAAACTAAAAGCTCGTACTTTCATCATTTTAATTTACTTTACCATTGTATACAACATTAAAGAAATACTGACTCTAAACAATTGAATGTGAAATTTGAATTCTTTATAAAAAAATCATTTGTAAAATGTGTTTAAGATACATGTAGCAAAATCTAGAAAGACCTGTTTCGACAATATATAATTTTTTCCCCTTCTCTTGATTTTTAATAAAAACATCTGCAGCATTACTTTTTCATTAACTGTTAAACTAGCTTTCAAATAAAAAAGACTAATCCTAAAAGTTTCAACGACTGTTTCTAAATTAAATGAATCAGGAGAAATACAAAAAAGGGAAAAATCTTTGTGTTGACTTTTAAAATATAAATTATATAAAATGTAAGGTAAAAGGACTTGAGCCAGCCATTATCAAATTCATCCCGTCCAACTGGACATCATTTACACTTAATGCAACCTGTGGTGTGTAAATGTAAGGGATGTTACAAATTCAAGACCTCACAGACATGGTTTCAGTATGTGTATAGTCAGTGTTCCTGTTTATAGTGATGTGACTATCAAAGTCCTAGGTATATAAGGCTATTGATCTGTGTATTACTCAGGCACTCCCAATGTCTTTTTGTAGACTTAATACTATTTAAAGGAATCATAGGGCTAAGTGTAAAACCATTCGATATCACAGATAGGGCTATGTGCTCTAAAATGTTTATCAAGTATATTATATACAAACACATGAAATTGGGGGACATTTCTTTTCTGTATGAATGTCTAATTTCTACAACTGTTCCGCGAATGTGAACATGTCTAGTTGATATTATGTAAACAATGACGATGAGAGACTACATTAAATCTCTTGCCATTAACAATGGCATAAATTTTTTTTTGTCCAATGTAGGTGCGTTTGCAGAGGCAAAACCCCCTACCACAGATATCAGAATGGCCTCTACCCTGTGAAGTATGTTGACTACTAAATTACGATGTCCTCTCCTGTATTATATATCCTTTAATTAATATGTGTCTGTGTAGGTCGCAATCATCATGGGACTTTACACCATCTTTCTTGTTCCTCACAATCATACTACAGGCTCCCTTTTTTATTAGACCCTCGCACCATCACATTTCTTCATTTTCATTCTCTCCTCTGTGTGTTTGTAGGTGGGTCTCTACATCAGCCGGACTAATATCCTTTCCACAAACAATACAAGTACACGTATATGTTTCTTTTATTGCTCCAGTATGTTGTTGAAGATGTTTCTGTAGGGAGTCACAATCAGAGAACTGACTTTCACAGACATCACACTTAAATGGCTTCTCTTCTGTATGTGTATTCGGATCTAGTTGTGTGTGTGCAATAGTCTGATCATTTCCACTAACATCACATCTATATGATGTTTCTTCTCCAGTATGTTCTCTCAGATGTTTCTGTAGGAATTCAGGCTCGGCGAACTTACAACCACAAACATCACATTTAAATGGCTTTTCTTCCGTATGTTTCGTCAGATGCAATCGCAGGTCACCTGAATTAGTAAACTGTTCACCACACATTCTACATTTGCAGGGCTTTTCTCCAGTATGCCTCTTAAGATGAGCCTTTAATGAATCTAGTCTGATGAACTCCTTACCACACACACCGCAGTTGTACGGTTTTTCTCCAGTATGTATCCTACGATGAATATGCAGGGTGCTTGAATGACGAAACACCTTACCACAGACCTCACACCCATAGGACTTCTCTCCAGTGTGATTTTTTGTGAAATGATCCTTCAGAAAGCTTTCCAATCTAAACGCCTCACCACAGACATCACATTTAAATGGATTTTCTTCTGTGTGTATCACCTTATGTCTCTGTAGATTGCCCGACTGACTGAACTCTCTACCACACTGTTGACATTTGAAGGGTTTTTCTCCTGTGTGTATCTTCAGGTGAGTATGTAGGGTGCTTAAATGACGAAACGTCTTACTACAGACATCACATTTGTAGAGTTTCTCACCTGTGTGTGTCCCAATATGTTCCTGTAGTGAATATGCTGCACCGAACCCTCTCCCACAAATTTCACATTTATATGGCTTTTCGCCTGTATGTGTCCTGATATGTCTCTGTTGATCACTTGCTCGACTGAATCCTTTGCCACACACATCACACTTAAATGGTTTCTCTCCCGTATGTATCATCATATGTCTTTTTTGATGAACCGATTGCCTAAAAGATTCACCACAGATATCACACTGAAATGGTTTTTCACCTGTATGAATCAAACGATGCCTTTGTTTATGACCTAAATGGCTGAATTCCTTACCACAAATATCACACTGAAAGGGCTTCTCTCCTGTGTGTATCATCATATGTCTTTGTTGGTCACCCGAGCGACTAAACCCTTTACCACAGATATCACATTTAAAGGGTTTTTCACCTGTGTGGGTCATCATATGTCTTCGTTCATCACTTAAACGAGTGAAAGTTTTACCACAAACTTCACACTTAATGACCTTTTTCCCTGTACTTGTTGTTATTTTTTTTGGTGCACCACCTAACGGTCTATTTCCTTTAACACCCGTATCATTATTTAAAGGTTTTTCTTCTGTATTTTTCATTGGTTTTCTTTGTTCATCACCTACTTGACTAAATCCTTTAACATCCATGTCACAATTAAGTGGTTTATTGTCTGTATTTGTCATCATTTGCCTTGCATCCCCTAAATGACTAAATCCTTTATCCTCCATGTCACAATTAAAGGGATTATTTTCTGTATTTGTCATTGGTTGATTTTGTTCATGCCCTATCTGACTTAATCCTTTTTCCTCCATGTCACAATCTTCTGTACTTGTCATTGCCAGCCTCTGTTCATTTTCTAACACACTTTGTCCAGTATCAGCCAGAGTAATATCATAACTAAAGGCTTTATCTTCTGTATTTGTCTTTAGTTGTCTTTCTTCATCCCCTAAATGACTAAATCTTTCATCTTCCATGTCACAATTGAAGTGTTTATTCTCTGTATTGGTCACCACCTGTCCTTTATCAGCCACAATAACACCACAACTAAAGGGCCTATGCTCTGTATTTATCATCATTTGTTGCTCATCATTCCCAATTTGGCTCAATCCTTTATCATCCATGTCCCAATTAAAGAACTTTTCTCCTTGAATTTTGTACCTGAAAGTAAAAAGAAACAATTAATGCAATGTTGTTTCATCATGAACACAGTATACATGGTATATTACTAGCAGAATTTAATAGGAAGAAGAAAATGATGAAACATCATGGAAGAACATTACATGACATTGACTTACGACAAATACATGACAGCACATCCCATGAATATTTCGTGTTAAACACCTTACTCTTTATCATTTTACCATACTTTATAATAGTAATGACACAACAGAGAAAACTTGCTAAAGTTTTCTTTACAGTACTTTCATCCACACTTCAGCATCCTCATAAGGTCAACAATTAAATATAAATACATGTAAATTAAACTTTTTATAGATAAGTTGGATTGACATGAATAATCTGTATGGCAACCAATGAGAAGCGTGGAGCTTTTTAGTGTTTGTTAATGTTTTAAAAGGTGTGCTTGTAATCATGACTTATCAGACTGTGTTAATTAAAAGCAGAGAATGAACATGAACTGAGAGTTTCTTGAAATTTTCAAAGTCCTATATTTATGGTCATGACTATATGGAAAAAAGACATGATTAAGAAATTAAATTGTTACTACAGGATTCAAATTCTCTAAGTAATAAGAGTGAAAGTGCAGACACAGGCAAGTTGCTTTCCACTTTCAACAGCAAATGTGTCATTTTGTTTTTCTTTTCGACTGAATTTACTGAAGCTATAGAGCAGCTGATATTTCATTACGGCAGATGATCTGATAAACCTTTAAGCATAGGGAAGATGAACCTGGTATGGGTATATGTTGTAACCAAACTAAAGCAAATGCAATGAAAATCAATGCCTTTTGATGCTGTTACAGATTTTGAAGAGAATGAGAGATCTGTGAGCAGAATGTTTAGTAAATAATCTGAAAGTGGACAATCTGAAATAAAATGGGAGTTCTGTTTGTGAAATATATAAAAAACTGAAATAAAATGGGAGTTCAGATTATCGTCACAGTCCATACTGATTCTACCATACTTTGGTGTAGAGAAGATTTTTTGAAATTTGAATCAATTCCATCCCTTTTAGCCCAAAACCTTAGGAACTAGTACTGTTAGGGCCCATTGTCGAGACATCTACACAGCTTTTTAAGTAGTAGACTGTTTTTCACAGCAATACAATTATATTACGAATTCCGTGATATGATATAAGTTGGTTCTTATTCAGTACTGTGTTTTTAACGAATACCTGACGTTTCGCACCAAAGTCCGTTCGCCCCAAGACCTTTAGCCCCCATGTTGTCATTTTCACACCATCCATTTTTTACCCACGGACCGTTCGCACCATAGGCTAAGACTGTTTGCACCATCAAACAAAAAATTATTGATTGTTTATTTAGGTTGTAATTAATGAAAACCTCACTGAATTGTTAACGATCAACAATGCTTAGACCGTTATAGGGCTTCGCTTGGGTATGAAACAACAGTCCAGGATTCTGACGAAACATGCATCCGCGAGCACTGATCGGAATCAAAACATATCAAGAGGAAAGGTGTTGAGACATCTCAAAAGGAAAGGTGTTGAGACTTTGTCTTTTGTTACTGCAACAACATGACGTACATAAAAATGGACATGTTCTTGTCAAATTATCATCGTGTCATCGACCATGGCTGACGACAACTGCATCACTTGAAGACGGATTGTACGACCGCGGCAGCATGCAATACAGTGCGACTCGTGTGATCGGTGGAACCATCGTACATGCGGCACAGGTAGGTGTATCGTTCATTATTTTATATTAATTTTTATTCTTTATAATAAATAATGGTTAGGATTACAGATAGAAATATAATTTATATCATCAATAAATTATAATTTATATGTGAATTAAATTTCAAATATATTTTCATATAACATAATTTCACCTTATAGTTTAGTTTTAAAAAGTTTATATTTATTTTTCAGGTATTTCCCAACAGGAATATCGACAAATGATGAGGGATGACCACACTACTTGGATATGTGCAGAATGTGGGGAACAATCTACAGAAGGTACACTATAATGCATTTATTATATGTGGAGGACACATGGCTCAAGCATTCCATTTGGACAACTGACACGTGGAGTGTGTACATGCAACCAATTAGAACGAACAACGATGTTGAGGGGTGGCATCGTAGCCTAAACATGAAAGCCCTAGATTCCAAGGTAAATAACATTTACTGAGTTGAATTTAATATATCAACAATATGGCGTATTTATATTTTTTTGATTGATACAAATTTCATGTATAATAATAATTGATTTATTTATAATTATTAATAATAATTAAAATATTTCTTTCAACTGTGTGTTTACAATATTAACCAATCTTGAATGATGGATTGATATGGAATTTGAGATTGAAATGTCAATTTTAATAAACCATAACAGTTCTGCTGACTGTCTTTGTTCGTATTTGTTCATTTAAAACTGCGCCCTCTATACCGATGGTGATATAGACCCGACACATTTGAAGGTTTTTTTTATCCCTCGTCTGCTTCGATAAATGTATTGTGACTACACTGGTCCGTTTCAGCATACAGGTCATTTACTGCAACTACTATGTCTGTTATCAAGGGGTCATTCCATACAATATCGACCACGCGATGATCAAAGTCACATGACACTTCGTCCAAGTCATATGACGGCCATTACACAGGAAGTGGAAGTTATCAACTCAGTTGGTGCAGACATGGCTGAATCTTGAATGCAAGACAAGGAAATAAATCAAACACAAAATAGCAGTCAGATGTATGGTACCCCCTCCTGGTCAATGAATGTTTGTTTTGTTGGCTATGGGATCTATGGTGCGAACGGTCTTGGGTTATGGTGCGACTGGTCTGGGGCAAAAGGTCTTGGGTGCGAAAAGTCTTCAGGCGAACGGTCTTTGGTGTGAAACATCTGGATACCTTTTTAACAATAACAACTTTGTTTACAATTCAACTAAAAATCAATGTAAAGAATTATGTTAGATCACTCATTAAATGTTAGTATCAAAATCAATATCCCTAAGAGTATATGGAGCCGATGTCCATGAAGGAATACAACTGGTCTTTAACTACCGGTACATACACGAAAACGTTATCTTGGGCTCAACATGTGAAGGTAGACAACCCAGTTTACTGTAGGCGTGTCTCAGTATTTAAAGAGATACGCTCGGACAATTGCGCCCCCGAGAGCGAACCTCTTATAAACTGTTCCGGAAAATAAGCAAGGAATACAGTTTTAACAAATAACCGTAATGTGGAATCGTTACATTGCTTTGTCACGTAGAAACATCTACTGCATAACGCATGTTCTCACCAGACACATTGTTGTGTAGGGAAGTAATTACATATTTGTATATATGTGTCTGTCTTATGGATAACTATAGAAAATGGTATATCCATATTTATGAGCCAAGATATTTGCATATATAAGGTATAAATATAGAGAAAGGTTTTGATATAATAAGCACAGATTTACCTCCTTCGGGCTACGGATGTGCTGCACTCGCCGTATTCACCGTTTTGCACATTTCGGGGTCGATGATGCGCTTTTGTGGCCAGCTAATGACAGGATTGGTGACCGGAATAAGCAGAATTGACCTGATTGGATCTTATCGAGTATAAAATTTGCTTCTGTACAAGTAACAATGATATGCCATTTTGATATATGAAATTCAAATATAAAAGAGGACAAATTCATCCACTGTGAATATCGATTCGGACTGTCAAGATCAAACATTCAGACTCTCTACCGACAAATGATTGTGAAAAATGTATATAAAAATCAGCTTAAGATAAGACAATTCAATTCAATTCTGTTTCAGAGACTAAATATTCGGCATAATTAATGAAACAATATGATTACGTTAAGATACGTATTGATTCTAAATATTTCTTGGCGAGTTACTTCCCCTTTCCCCCTATTCGTTGTGTTTGACAGGTCATTACCAATTAGTATTCATGTAAGTACCCAAGACATCTTAATGTGTATGCAAATAAAATAGCGATATCAATCAGAATCATACTTGTACACGAGTTTTTATTTCGTCAGAGGCTCACAAACCTAGTATTAAGTATTTGTCCGTTCGAAAGTCTACACCTGTACAGTGTATATAGTAATATGTTACATATAACAAGTATAGTATACATGTATCTTTTTCATGGAATGCTGTCATTGTAGCCTTGTCAAATCGTTTTATGGAAGAGAATTCTCGTAGGTTGTTAAACTTGTGTTAGATTAATTTTGAAGTCTTAATTAAGGTATGCTTACACTAAACCATGGACGTATGGTGTCCAGACTTCAAAGTCTGTTTATACATGTATACATTATAGATATTTATGTATTATAAAACGGATTTTTAAACAACGATTTGTATTTTTTTTAATAAATTGTGTATCATAGTGCAAAATAAATCAAGAATGAAAACGGTACAGAAGATCACAGACTCAGTCCGAAATATTCTGCAAGCTTTCATAATTATCCGCGATGTTTGTTTTACAAAGGACAAAAGGGTATTTCGCAAATAAAAAAAACAACAACAAAAAAAAAAAACAGCCAAACTTATCGATATTTGGTTATTGCTGCCCATAAGCGATGAAAGTCAAACTTGTAACTATCACTGTTGTTTTCCAGACAGTTTAAATCACATAGTGTAACTGGATTGTCGGTGTGTAGTATCTACGTGAGTACGAGTTACATGGTTCCATTCGTGTCAGATTTATGAAACCTCGTTAGAGCTCACTTAAAAAATTTCATACATCTCATATGAGACAGAAACGAATGTAAGATTTTGTTTATTACATAACTTAAATGCATTTTCAAACTTTCGTGAAAACATTTTATATCGATACAAAATATAATATGGCGACGTTCTCATTTTACAGCCCTTTCTTTGATGACGTCACAATGCATGGTGACGCAATCAAGTTTTGACATCACCATAAAACAATGGAGACCTTCAGCTAATAACCGCTCTGTTCTGTAAAAACAAATATTAATGTTATGGGTATTATCACATTGCTAATGAGAGTAATTATGCAATAAACTGAACACCTCGCAATATCTGTTGCACCTGTTAGTTTTAATTGGCTATGGTTGACCAAATAACTGGTACAAGTTATACTTCAGCTTCCTGACAGATTTTCCTCCAAAACATCTTTGTTACACGGACACGATGTGGGTACAACTGGATCTACTATTTTTAGAAATACACCTGTCAAGAAGATAAAAGATTTTTAAAGTGAAGATTGCAGGCTTTTCATCTGCTCTAGGTACATGTCTGTTAGGACGCATGTAAGTACTAGATAGATGTCACGTTGGACATAAACAGATAATTTTGTTTGTTTGTTTTTTTGTTTTTTTCTTAATTTCTTTAATATTTCTATTTGGTGCTTGAACTTAGAAAAAAAACGAATGATAATCAATATCTGTTATTGTTACGGATATTTCATTAAGAGGGTGGGAACTACCACGCCCTTTGGGATACTTTATAAAACTACCGTGTGTCATGTGCTGTATAATAAGGAAAATATGTTGAATTTGAAATTTTCCTCTAGAAGCGTGTCAAGGTATATACCAATAGTACAAACAGCGAGCGCTAAGCTCTCTTCAATCAATATAATTCCATATCCCATTATCTTATAAAAACATAATAAACAAATGTAAAAACCAGAGGATCTCGAGTACTATTATTTCATATATATTAAAGCAGTTTTCCAGAATGTTATACAATGTATATAAAACAGTGTGAAGTAGCCAACACATTGTTCCATACTTAACACCGTGTTGGTACCCGTCATCAGTATCGGCTGTTCATGTTTCACCACTAATGCGCGTCCATTGTTTTATTGTTTGTTTGGTATCTAAATGCCACTCGGCTTACAGCCTGTAAACAAAACGAGAATAATGGATTATATATCACCACGCAGACCTTCGTCGTGTTGCTGGTCAACTTCAATGGAACTTCAGGAAACGCATAAACCTGGAACTTTTAACAGACAAGAGATCTATTTTCTAATTATATCACAAACAACTCAGAGCTATTGTTATTTTAACTATCTAGATCCGTTTTTCTGATTCTGAGGTCGACGACTGTTATTCATGATAAAGGTCATACTTATTATTTTCATTGTAATAATGTGCTATTAATCGACCATACAGCAGTTAACGACTAAGTTGTCGATGTACCACATCGTCCAGCTGCTCCAGGGATGAGGGCGCTATTGGTATTGCTTGGGACTATGTCCCTCGTACTGGGTACGTATGTCTCTATGGTAGATTCGGACTCTGTCCCTCGTACTGGGTACGTATGTCTCTATGGTAGATTCGGACTCTGTCCCTCGTACTGGATAAGTATGTCTCTATGGTTGATTCGGACTCTGTCCCTCGTAATGGGTACGTATGTCTCTATGGAAGATTCGGACTCTGTCCCTCGTACTGGATAAGTATGTCTCTATGGTTGATTCGGACTCTGTCCCTCGTAATGGGTACGTATGTCTCTATGGAAGATTCGGACTCTGTCCCTCGTACTGGATAAGTATGTCTCTATGGTTGATTCGGACTCTGTCCCTCGTAATGGGTACGTATGTCTCTATGGAAGATTCGGACTCTGTCCCTCGTAATGGGTACGTATGTCTCTATGGTTGATTCGGACTATGTCCCTTGTACTGGGTACGTATGTCTCTATGGTTGAGTCGGACTATGTCCCTTGTACTGGGTACGTATGTCTCTATGGTTGATTCGGACTATGTCCTTATCTGTTATGGAGACCTTGTCTCTACTGTTAGGTACATACACTAACTTTTCCAACAATCTTATGTCTCTCTATGGTCATGTGGAGTTCAAGTGAGTGTTTATATTGTAATATTTTATTTTCCAATTATATATATTTTCACACCATATTTGGGCTGGACAATTTATTTCATACCTCCTTTATGTGAAATGAAAAACCTGTAGGTTTAAGAGGTCGAAACTGAAAAGAGATTTTGTTTCTGGTTTGACCGATGAGATCTCATTCTCACCGAGATATCAGAGAAAGCCATCGTGTAATCGGAGGTGTCTCACCGAGATATCAGAGAAAGCCATCGTGTAATCGGAGGTGTCTCACCGAGATATCACAGAAAGCCATCGTGTAATCGGAGGTGTCTCACCGAGATATCACAGAAAGCCATCGTGTAATCGGAGGTGTCTTACCGAGATATCACAGAAAGCCATCGTGTAATCGGAGGTGTCTTACCGAGATATCACAGAAAGCCATCGTGTAATCGGAGGTGTCTTACCGAGATATCACAGAAAGCCATCGTGTAATCGGAGGTGTCTCACCGAGATATCACAGAAAGCCATCGTGTAATCGGAGGTGTCTCACCGAGATATCACAGAAAGCCATCGTGTAATCGGAGGTGTCTCACCGAGATATCACAGAAAGCCATCGTGTAATCGGAGGTGTCTCACCGAGATATCACAGAAAGCCATCGTGTAATCGGAGGTGTCTCACCGAGATATCACAGAAAGCCATCGTGTAATCGGAGGTGTTAAACTTGGGCCAATATCTCTCCAAAGGTATCGAAACATATATTCTGTTACTCCCCGAATGTATACGATATATCTGATTTGTTTCCAGGGAGATCTCAGTCTTCACGGAGATACATTACCATCCCCGCCGGAAGTACAACGTATTACGGCAATATGGCGTCAACGAATCAGCAGGATGACGTCGCGATGCCTAATCTCCATAAACTGAAGTATGACGTCATTTTGGACATAGCGTTGTACGACCAAATTACACTAGAAGAAAATGGCTATTTTGCGGTGTATGACGACCCGGAAGGAGAAGCTTCGATAGTGATGGGTCAGTGTAAATATAGTTACTGTTGTTTCGTTCATGACTGACACCTAATTTATTAATACTCTTGTGAAGTGGTGTTATAGCCAAGCTCTATTATAGAAATATGATGTCTTTAACATTTAAAAGCGATGTGTCTAGCATGATATAATAACCCTGCCATTTGTAGGGCTTTTTTTGTTTCATTTCTTTTCTTTTTCTTGTTTTAATGAGGCATTTTTGTCTTATATTAGGAAGAAAATTAGTGAATTAGGAAGTACTTTTTCAGAAGTTAATCACCCACTTTCAGTAATTTGGTTTAAATGTGAAATGATATTATTAAAAGCCGGGCTTCATTATCGGCTTCATTATTGGTACCAAAATCCCTAAAAAGCCCTGATTTGAAGCAATGTTAAACACCAAATATAATTAACCATTAAAACAAAACGTTCATTCCCATGAATTTGTCTCGCTATACGTAACAGCTTTTATATTTGTTTCTATATAAATTTATTTATTCATATTTCTTAGCGTTCGCTTTACCAACTTGTAACATTTTTATAAACATTTTAAACAGAAAATCAAAATAATACCATTTTTTTGTACTATGCATAATACAGGTGACAAGGTTCTAATGTGGGTTTTCAATCCGACTACACTACGGTTCCATAACGTCATGTCTGTAATGTTTGCTAATGATGCAGTAAGTTGATTTAAACGATATTGATTAAATGTTTAAATAAAATTTCCAGATATTTCACTGTACAATACATTTTATCTATAACCAGATACCTAAACAACAATTATTTGGGTCTCTGCTATATATAACTAGGGCACAAGTATCTTACTGGTACTGACGAGAAGCAAGCGTATGCATGAATTTGATCCTACAGAATTTTAGTCTGGTATCGGTCTTCCCATGATGCCCCACACAAAAAGGTGACAGTTCTATGCGGCTAATAGACTTTTCCCACAATCCATACTTAATAAGTGTCTAAATGATTCATAATTCATGACAATTGCTTTAATTATACATTCTCACTGCTGATTTTGGAGTCACGCTTCACGATTATAAAACTTATCTGTTATTTGATTATGATAGAGCAATTTTCTACTTTTATTTCCATTTGAATTATGGGTAATAAAGTTGTGTTTATCCTATTTCAGAATTTCCGTGTATTCAGGAGATTGCTCCAGCAGTACGTGAATGGCTGATTTCTCAATATATAGCTGTAAATAGCAGTTTTGTATTATTAAATATTATCACATTGCAATCGTGTTGGTCATTGTTACGTTTTCAACGATGAATGTAGCTGATGTAAATGTAGAAACTTGTACCTAAGCTATAAAACATTGAGAACTCTGCGCCACGTAAATCAGAACCTTAACCCTAACTTCAAATGGACATAGGAGAAATAAGTTATCTCATAATATTACAGGTGTAATAGATTTCCACTTAGAAAAAAATGGAATATGAACTCCAACCCAACCCCAAAGCCCCCGGCAAATAGGGTTCCGTTTTGTATGAGTGTACACATATGCCTGCTTGTTTGTTTTACGAGGTGTAACGTGCTCAAACAGCCAATGTCTTATGAGGACGGTTGTCAAGAAGGACATAAGTGTGGGATACAAAGCAACAGAAAGAACAAGAAAGAGCAGACAGAACATGACAGCAATGATCAAGATCTCAAGTGATGCTACGAAGTCAGCATATCATTGACCTCTTGATCTTTTGACCTTTTGGATGTCTCTTGCGACATGTAGAGTCAAGTACGTCAGGCAAATCTTTTTCTGTCACATACACATAAAGAACCAGATTAAAATATGGAAATAGCAGCTGTATCTATGTGGCACATTGGTTAACTTGATTAACTGTGACAGACTGCAGTTTAAACAGGGATAACACAAAATTAGAATACATTTTTAGGATCAGCTCTCGTCAGAACGTCTTTACGAGCATTCAAAATAACATTTTTGGGATGAATTTTTGTGTAGACAGTCTTAATCAATTTTATAAATCCACGCGAGACCAATAAAGCCTACAGATATTACATAAAGTGCGATGGTTTGGGATTCTCAAAGACAGATTTAAAAAAAAACTATGACAAGATATCACTGATTAGATAGGATGGTTAATGCAATATAACCAATCAACCAAGGAAGTTTTATTCCAGAATACCATTTAAAGTGCGACGTCTCTGTAAGAAAGTCTTGGAATTTTCCTTTACTTATGGAACAAAACAACCCCACTACACTATTAAGGGATATTAAAGAGAAAGAATCATTTAAGCAGATTTAATTAATTCCATGAAATGTAACTCTCACGGATTGGAATTATCTGAGTTGAATGCATAAAACACGAGTTTTCTAGGTAGTGTTGATGCGGATAGCTTAGCATTTCTACCATCTAATCTATCAAAGTAATCCGACAGTTTCATAACGAGAGAAAACGATATTTCGAGAAAAGATAATCTCATAACACAGGGTTTCGAAAGATACAGGTTGATGAAGATTATAGGGAAAATTAACGGTCGTCACAGTGCTTTCATAGAGAAATGTTCCATTTCTTTGTTCAAGACGAAACTTGACGTATTTGACGTGGTAAGTTTGCCTGTTGATTCCGTTGTTGTATACATTCTTCTCATTAGGGAACGTAACGTTTGTTTCCTTGATTGACCAAGGTTTACATGGCGGGTGTCGTCGGTGAAGAAGAAGACGCATGCCCTTCCCGAACAAATGATTTTACTTTCCATTTTTCAGGTGTCATCCTATAGATTTATCCGTTGTTCATGTTTTGCCCTTTTTTCATCGAAGGTCTGGGTCAAGATTTTGTACCATGTGAATATTTTCTTTGTTCTTTTTGCATACATATTTTCTCTCTACAAAAAAAAAACCAAAACAAAACAAAACAAAAACAAAAACAAAACAAAAAACAAAACAAAAAACAAAACAAAAACAAAACAAAAATCAAAATTAAGCAGAACTCATTACATTTGTTCTCTGTCTAATTTATTATTTCTTGTGTATTGAATAAAAAAATAAAAAATACATCAGTAAAATGGAAATTGAAAAGTAAATCAACCAAAGCAAACTTCGAAATTAAGTATTGATTCATATTAACTTTAGGATGAAATATAACATCTAATGGTCATTTTCGTAATATTATTATTCTTCGGAGATCTGAAACTGACATAACGTTTAGGAATTATAATTGGTAGTTTAAATGCTTCATGAACAAATTGATTACAATAAAAAGCTAATTTAATTTTGTTAAATTTGTTTTCAAATGTCACACACAAAATAACAAAGGTCGGTGGTTGTATTTCACATAGAATAATATAATAAAACTTTACATACATGTATAGAGTTATTTAGGGTCGGAACACGGAGTGAGTGACTTGTGGTTCTGAATTTTGTTCACCATGTTTGCTGTTTTACTTGTTGGGGTGCTTTTGTACGTGTCATCGGACGGAACCGTTATTGAACAGACACCAGGTACGTCAGTGTATCAGTATGTAGGCAAGCCTTTTTAATTCGCGAATCTACCGAACTCTTTTAAAAAGAGGGTACATTTGAAAATTACACGATTTGATGATTTACCAATTAGGTATTTCCAGAGAACAGGAAATGATAAACACAATTACTGTAACATTGTATGGTAAGTCCTTTCGACAATGATTTTATAATAACGGACCAAGTGTAAGCTTGTAATCTAGAGAGCTCTATACTTACGTACTGAACTGTTTGGTTATGTCATTTATGGTCAATATAAATGCAGGCACATGAACCATATTCCCATTCCTACTTTTTCAATGCGAATGGGTTCTGCATTTCAAATAGCAATGCTTTAATCATTTGATACTCTGTATTTAAATGATATTACGATATCATTCGATAGGAAGCCATCTTGTCGTTTCAAGGAGATTTATGACTGTCACAGCCGGAGACAATACTTATTTCGGAGATATGTCTCTTACTTCGGGACGATACAGTCCAGTATTAAGAAGGCTGGAGAATGACCTCATGTTCGATGTGGCCTTGTATGACCGAGTAACAGTCGAGAGGAATGGAGAGTTTGAAGTTTATGACGAAGGAGCTACGTCCGTCGTGTCAGGTAAGTCGACTTTACACTTTGTCGTGTTAGGATGTGAAAGTAAAAAATCTTATGAAAATCACATTAAATGAAATTCATGCAGAATCCGGTTTCCAAACTGAGATCCCTGTTAAGTTGTAGACACAATCGGCTATATACATAACGGCCTATACATTTAAACATCGGCTTTGCGTGTTAAGCATGTCTTTAGAATATAAAAAAATATGAACAAGCACCTTTCAAAGCTGAAGGTGAAAAGTAGAAGCGATAAATAGGTTTATCAGATATTTAGTCACGGGATAAAAAAGAGTTACATCTCAAATTTTGTATTCGGAAATAATGTTCTCTATTCGTCGATATTCAAATTCCGCCCTAGAGACGTCTCCAATCAGATTCATTTTGTTAATTTACAACGACTTTGATATCCTAAACCAACTTTTCCGGATAATTACATTGAGCATGTCTACTTACAAGGCGACAACTGGAAAGAGACAAACATTGGTCGGCCCCATATTATTTGATGTCTTCCATTACGTTTTTGTTACTTATTCCACAGAGAGTTGCAGAATAATATCGGTGCTGTGCACTGTACTAGCATTGAGATTGTGTTATTTAATTTCTTCCTTTGTACAATGTCTGTTGACGTTTTGTCCTTTTGTATCCTTGCTTGTGAACGCCGTAACACTTTTGACCTTATCTACTTTAGCGTTGGTTTGATTGTATTTATTGCCAATATAAATGCAGTATGGGTGCCACATAGCGGATTATGACGATTTATTCTATTTGTCATCCCAGTTGCATTCATATCGACAATAAATACAATTCTACCGACGTTCAGTGGTTATATTTACATTTCGGATATCATTTGAAAATTTATCATGTTTCTTTTTCTCTATTTAAAAATGGATTTCCTCGTGGTATGTTTACATACTCGAAAAGCTTTTTGAAGATCATAATCAGCTAAATGATTAACTTAAAACCATAATTCATGTTACTGAGGCGACGTGTAAAGCGTTGACGTAACGTCGGCCAACATGTCACCAAAATGACGTCATGCTATTGTCCCGTGGTCTAGACTTCATTTATACTCCTTTGGATACAATACATAGAGTGTTAGAAAAAAGTGAATGGCAAAAGTGGTTCGCCAGGGGCTCATCACTTCTGTCTTTCTTCACCCTCGCCAAAATACAGCTGATATCTCAAGACCAGACATTGACGTTTCGCTGAAGGACGCCAAAATAATTGCTCCACGCGGACACGTACATGTAGTTCCAAACTTAATCGGATATAACAGCGATTTTATTAATTTTCATAAATCAATTTGTTCATTACAACATGTAAAATCGCTTATTGCATCAACTATTTATATTTCCAAACGTAATATTTAAGTAAATTCAGATAGTTATTCTGTCGAATTACTGCACGTGCTAAAATACAGATGTTTTCCGTCACTGCCAAATACAGCAAAAACCTATATGTGACAAGTGTATTCAGACAACGACACTGCCAGTTGCAGAATAAATATCAAAACTGAGTTAATGAAAGGTCACCATGCAAAATGTAAATATTTGTACGCTATTGCCATGATGGTCCGTTATCCTTGTGTGGTCACCGTTATGTGTTCTGACCTTGTCTACATATGTTTTGGTTTTATGATGTTCTTTGTCCTGGTGTGTAGATACCGTGATGTGTTATGTCGTCCTCAACAAATGCCAACAAACAGAGAAAAATACCATAGACAGAATCTTTCAAACAGGAATCAAACACAACATCTATTTCATGTTCTGTCATTTTACAGCTATAGATTTGTTGAGACGGGACAGAATGATATTTAGATTTTCAATTTTGCCCTGAAAAACCTTTTTTAGTAGTAACAATTAATTATCTTATCTACTCTAACCACGCTTCGAGCATCTTAGACCAGGACGGTTCGGAACAGGTGTGGGTAGTACTTCCTCAGTGTAGAATACAGCATGCAGAATTTAAGTAAAGATATACAGTGTAATATTTATGTGTTCTGACTTTTACAGGTGATAAAATTCTGTTTTGGGTTTATGACCGGTCAGCCGTTCAATTCCGTAACGCATTGACCATCATGTTTAACGATGGACAGGTAGGTACTGACCGCTTATTTCAGGCAGATTCTAGAAAACTAGCATACATGTCATGTGACGTAGCTACACATTTCCTTACATATAGCACTCAGTTCATTTTCTACGTTATCAAAATTACAAATTACCTGAAAGATATGATTGAAATTTTTAGTTACTTTAAAATTGTATATTTTGTGAGGATCAAATTTCGTGGTTATTAAAAAAATCGTTAAAATGAAATCAACTTTCTAAAGCAAGGGTGCCAATCTGTGTGGACACTAAGTGATGAGGCTATTGATGATTTTATGACCACCTGGATAAAGCATCCTATTCGAAACACTAGATTTTGTGGAAAGCCCCAGGAAATTTTAGGTCAAAGCTGGGGAATATAAAAAGAAAATTTTGCTTTTAAATGTTCTTACAAATATCATGTTTGAGTCAGAGGTGATTTTTGTAGCAACGTACGTATCTGCGTTAAAGTTTACAGAACATAAGATATGAAATCTTTATGTTAAATTTCCATTGTGAAGTTGAAGAGGAGAAGTATCGCAATAAACTTTAATAAGTCGATATACAAAATAATTATCTACCGAAACGTTTAAACAAAATGATGGAAAACTGATTCTGCTTAAAAACGGAAGTTATTTTTTCTCTTTTCTTTTCTCGTTTTTTCACAAGCGTTGTAAGAGTGTTTTTTTATCTTGTCGTTGCAGGGTTTTTCACGAGCGTTGTAAGAGTATGTTTTTTCTCTTGTCGTTGCAGGATTTTTCACAAACGTTGTAAGAGTGTGGTTTTTCTCTTGTCGTTGCAGGGTTTATCACAAACGTTGTAAGAGTATGTTTTTTCTCTTGTCGTTGCAGGATTTTTCACAAGCGTTGTAAGAGTATGTTTTTTCTCTTGTCGTTGCAGGATTTTTCACAAACGTTGTAAGAGTGTGTTTTTTCTCTTGTCGTTGCAGGGTTTTTCACGAGCGTTGTAAGAGTATGTTTTTTCTCTTGTCGTTGCAGGGTTTTTATGTTTTTTCTCTTGTCGTTGCAGGGTTTTTCACGAGCATTGTAAGAGTGTTGTTTTTTTCTCTTGTCGTTGCAGGATTTTTCACAAACGTTGTAAGAGTGTGTTTTTTCTCTTGTCGTTGCAGGATTTTTCACAAACGTTGTAAGAGTGTTGTTTTTTTCTCTTGTCGTTGCAGGATTTTTCACAAACGTTGTAAGAGTGTGTTTTTTCTCTTGTCGTTGCAGGATTTTTCACAAACGTTGTAAGAGTGTGTTTTTTTCTCTTGTCGTTGCAGGATTTTTCACAAACGTTGTAAGAGTGTTGTTTTTTTCTCTTGTCGTTGCAGGATTTTTCACAAACGTTGTAAGAGTGTGTTTTTTTCTCTTGTCGTTGCAGGGTTTATCACAAACGTTGTAAGAGTGTGTTTTTTTCTCTTGTCGTTGCAGGATTTTTCACAAACGTTGTAAGAGTGTGTTTTTTCTCTTGTCGTTGCAGGATTTTTCACAAACGTTGTAAGAGTGTTGTTTTTTTCTCTTGTCGTTGCAGGATTTTTCACAAACGTTGTAAGAGTGTGTTTTTTCTCTTGTCGTTGCAGGATTTTTCACAAACGTTGTAAGAGAGTGTTGTTTTTTTCTCTTGTCGTTGCAGGATTTTTCACAAACGTTGTAAGAGTGTTGTTTTTTTCTCTTGTCGTTGCAGGATTTTTCACAAACGTTGTAAGAGTATGTTTTTTCTCTTGTCGTTGCAGGATTTTTCACAAACGTTGTAAGAGTGTGTTTTTTCTCTTGTCGTTGCAGGATTTTTCACAAACGTTGTAAGAGTGTGTTTTTTCTCTTGTCGTTGCAGGGTTTATCACAAACGTTGTAAGAGTGTGTTTTTTCTCTTGTCGTTGCAGGATTTTTCACAAACGTTGTAAGAGTGTGTTTTTTCTCTTGTCGTTGCAGGGTTTTTCACGAGCATTGTAAGAGTGTTGTTTTTTTCTCTTGTCGTTGCAGGATTTTTCACAAACGTTGTAAGAGTGTGTTTTTTCTCTTGTCGTTGCAGGATTTTTCACAAACGTTGTAAGAGTGTGTTTTTTCTCTTGTCGTTGCAGGGTTTATCACAAACGTTGTAAGAGTATGTTTTTTCTCTTGTCGTTGCAGGATTTTTCACAAGCGTTGTAAGAGTGTGTTCTTTCTCTTGTCGTTGCAGGATTTTTCACGATTCATGCGATCGCTGAGCCATTATACCGAAAATTAAAGAACCGAAGTCGACAACAATTTCAACAAATCATGTATTTTGTCTTTTTGAGATTGTTTCTTTGTTTCCTGACATAATAAATGGTTCTTTCACCAACTGAAGTTGTCATTGATAGTGATTGCAACGAAACACATTGCATCAACCGATTAATATACATCGAAGGTCATGTGTTCAGTGTAATCATTACGGGAACAATTATCATTTTCACATATCACAGCATCAAAATAACAGATGAGGGTATGCGATATGTATCAATGTCAGGAGATTGTAGCGAATGGCAAGATAGAGCAGAGAAGTGGAGGTATTACTTTTAGCAGGCAAATTTGATATGAAGAACTTAGAATACATGGATAACGCAAATTGTGACTAACATTTAGATCTTGTTTTTGACCGTGCTTCATGTACGTCATATATGCCGTGCGATATATATATATATATAACAATCTAGCGTGCCTTATGAATTGTACTTGGTGAAACAGGAAAATATAAGAAGGGAGACTCATGAAAAGTTATGATGAGAACAAGACAATATGTTCTGGAAGAAAAGTTATAATGAGAACAAGACAATATGTTCCGGAAGAAAAGTTATAATGAGAACAAGACAATATGTTCCGGAAGAAAAGTTATAATGAGAACAAGACAATATGTTCTGGAAGAAAAGTTATAATGAGAACAAGACAATATGTTCTGGAAGAAAAGTTATAATGAGAACAAGACAATATGTTCCGGAAGAAAAGTTATAATGAGAACAAGACAATATGTTCCGGAAGAAAAGTTATAATGAGAACAAGACAATATGTTCCGGAAGAAAAGTTATAATGAGAACAAGACAATATGTTCCGGAAGAAAAGTTATAATGAGAACAAGACAATATGTTCTGGAAGAAAAGTTATAATGAGAACAAGACAATATGTTCCAGATGAAAAGGATTCTTCAGATTCACTGACGAAATCCGCCATGCAAATTTGGTCAATCGACTTAAGTAATGTCGAGTTCAATAATGAGGACATTGAACCAATAGGCAAAGTAACGAGCATCAAACACTCACAAGGAAATAAAACATGTCACGATATATTAAAAACAACAAGGGTAACAAGCCAGACGTTTATTAAGGAATAGTATGAGATCGTAACCGCTGATGTTGGAACGGCTACGTCTTTTTTTTCTCGTTTTTTCTCAGTTTCTTATGCGGATTACGTTGACACCTACTGATGAACATGCGAAAATGTTAGATATATACGACCACAATCCAGATTTCTACCTTATATCTTTGTCTCAGTAATGCTGGCTAAATCATACAACTTAACTGAAGTTAGCATTTAGGAGTTATCTCTCTTCCCGTACGAGCTCCTCCTTTCACCAACAGTCTCTGTATCAGTCGATCGAGATGACCGACTAGAGAGATAACAGCTGTTAAGTATATTCAACTATGAAAGCAGGTCGTGTCCGAAATAAACATTGTCTTATGTAAACATTTTCGTCATTAAACCATGATTTACCTGTAGGTTGATTCTATATTATATATATATTGTTGAAGCGTAAAACAAGTACTCATTTTTGTCATTACTATTTATCGTTTTTTATTTATCAATATATCAGTTTTTTCACTCTAGTTCTCCAAAAATTTTACATTTATTATTGAAATTCCCATTCCTTTGTTGTATCTGGCGCTTGTTGTCATTCTCATATATTTTCATACTTATTTGATTTCCCTGTTGCATCCACATATTTCTTTCATTTAGAGTAACTGATGAGTTCTAAATTAAATATAAAGCATTGACATTTTAACAAAAGCTGAATTCAAATTAAAAAGGAGACCCTTTAGAAGTACAAGAGAACTTGACCAGGTTTACCAAAGGACGAGCTTTATAGAGAAAAATACATTTAGGTGGGATGCATGTTTTCTGAGGTTCCCAAAGTATCAGCCGGGACAGCGACGAAGAATAAACAAGAATTGCAAGAATTCCTCTTCATATATTTCCCAAATTTTCTGGTATCTTTTTTATGAGCTGTTGATGTTTATAAAAGCTGTTTTGATATTCGAAATAAATTCCTTGCAAATATTATGAATTGTAACAAGAATTATAAAACCGAATTGCTGTTTATGCAGATGAATGTTTTCTGTTTCACATTCGATAAGTAAATTGGAGACCGATGACAGATGTATTCAGTGTCCTTGATCAGGAAGGATATACGATAGACAAGCTCATTACTGGATGTGAAAGCTAACACACCGTATGTTACAATATATCTTTAGGCGGCGTTAAAACCCTTCAAAAGCTAGACTGGGAAGGTTCCTACCATTCATTAAGGAATTAAAGAAACTCGTTTGTTTTTATTCTTACCAATTTGTTTAACAGAATTTCATCTGTATTAAACAAAAGACTCTGACAGTATTAAAGAATCCGACGTATTCTTTAAGTTGATTACAAGACCAGGAAGGTAAAATGAACAGCTGAGACGTTAATACCAAGACATACATTCGTAATGGCCTCTGTAAACTGTTTATACATATGTAACAATAAACCAGCTCTTCAAAATATTTATTGGTACGTTAGGTGGGCTTAAAAGATATATAGTACCAAATTATCATGGATTAGGTTCCTTTCCTTTCTTCCTCCTTTAATAGGAAGTTCATGGTAGTTAGAATTAAGCAGAAACAATATTAGGACATGGAGTGTACTTCTAGAATATGGCATTAGTCCGGAGAAACATTGGAACAGTTGACTAAATCTCCATCCCTTACTCCTCATTTCGCTGTCTGTTTTCGCCTGTTGCATTACCCACTCTATTCACTTTCCTGGTCCTATGGAAGGCCGTAATAGTGGATAAACAAACTTGCGACCACACATTATTGGAGGAAATTATGATGTAAAATGCTGATCACAAGGTACCATGACGTCATTGTTATAATTTAGACCACTAGGGCCTAGATGAGCAAAGCTTAGAGTTAATCGGGGTTAGTGGAAATGTTCAAGTAGGAATGAAACAAGATTGAAAAAAAAATCTTCATTTTTACACGGCTGAAGATTTATAGTGATAGGCTAGCTTAATATGAACTTAATTTCATTCATTAATATGTAAATCGGGATTATAAAACAATTACAGCTGAATTGGATTCCGGAATTGGTTTTTCAATTTTTAAAAATCCGTCTCCTTTTCGGTGGTATATGAGTTAAAGTTACACGACAACAAGCTGAAAAGTGAAGTTGTAGATTCTTGTACTAGTTATAAGGTTAGAAAAGAAAACATGGAAGAAGAGAACAACTGATACTGAAGGGATATGAGAAGGAAAGTTGCCTATGTCTAGTTAAAAGAGACTGTAGCACTATATGATCCATTGTGCTGTGGGACGAAAAGCAATAATTTTAATCTCTTGAAACTAATAATGAAGTTTTGAACACATGTAAAAATCAAAGAATTTTCATCATCCGTAAGTCCTTTGTCACCGAAGAGTAGCATTTCGGTTGAAAAATGAGTGTTAATAATACTAAAACATAGTAAGCGAATCCTAGAAAAAAGTCGGTAATGCTATAAAAAGTGTTTGTCAGTCTCGTCTTGTTGATTACAAAAGAAAATCGGATAAATAAACAAGATGTTTCTATGAAATAGATGAGATGTGACTGCATTCCACCCTCATTATTACATGGTGAATCTGCCACCACCTTAGAAATGAGATGGAAGAGTGTGACCAGATGCATGTCGTTATCTGGCAAAGAATTCCAGAGACAGTACAGACAGCAACATCTCGAAAACGAAAATTCCTGCCAACACGAGTGTTATGATCATAGAGAAAAAAATTATTGCAGATATTGAGGGAGGAGACCATGAATTATTTTATGGCAATGAATGATTTTATGATATTTACGTCTTCGCTCTAGAGGAAGTCAGCCAGTCTCAATATAGAGTTTCACTCTACTAGTTAGTCTAGTTCCGCCAGTAATTATACGTGTTGCCTCTGATTAGAGATCTTCTAATATGTCAGACTGAGTTTTTGTAGGATTATCTCAAACGAAGTCGCCATGTTCCAACAAAGGTCAAATAAACGTACGATTTACAGTTTGAAGTGCCATTCAGACTAAATTTAAGCCTGCGTTATAGAATTAGCTTTGGTGAAATTTGATAAATTTGATCAGTCCAGAAAACTTTTGTTTTATAAAAACAGATCAGGATGCTTATACGCACTGACTTCAGTGAGTTAAGTATTGTTTGTGTGGTGAGGGGAGGATAAATTGGAGTTCTTAGATATCAGTAAGATTTCGCTCTTTTTTTGGTTGGGGATGGGGGGGGGAGGTAAAATTTATCAACCGATGTTTGGACCATTCATGTATTACATCGAGATCAAGCGTTATTTATCGTTTCTGCTCTACTCATGGTTTTGTTGAAAATGACGTACAAGGAGGTGTCATCTGTAAATAATTTGATATTAGTCCGTATATCGTTCACAATGTCATTAATACCATTGTCTCAAGCAGAATAAATGACATGTGCTAGAAGTTGATTTACTGGTGAATCGTCATATCTAAATTCAGATTTGTGGGGAGATAGGATTGAGCGTGCAAAAACTTGCATCTATCCATCAGTTTTCCAACAAGAAAAAGACAGGCCTGTAGTTAGTTAGGACATACTTATTGTCTAATTTTTGTGCATGACTTACATTAGCAATCTCCCTGTTGTAAAAATACCATATGTGAGAGATTGATTGAAGAGTGTGCTCAAGAGTTTACATATCAATAGATTATTTAAGTAATGAATGATTCAGGGTCAATGGCTTTAGTTCAGTCAAGATTTAGCATAGCCTCTTTAACATCAGTAGCAGTTACAAGGATAGGAGAAAGAGTCAATGCTTGGACGGATAGCGTCAAAATCAGCAATTGAAACAGAAACAGAAAAAATAATTAAATAGACAAGTATTTTCAACATTATTTGAAACAGTATTGTCACTGTGCAGAAATGGTGGCATAGAAGATTTTTTTATAGTTTGGTAATAACGAGTATAC